GTACTTCCCCTGGGATCGCAGCACCGACGCTAGGTTGCTCACGCTCGTCAGCGTGTCGGGATGCTCTTTCCCCAGCGCCTTCTCCCTCCCCTCCAACGCTCGTCGGTTCATGTCTTCAGCCTGCTCGTACTTCCCCTGGAATTGGAGCACCGACGCTAGGTTGCTTACGCTCGTTAGCGTGTCGGGATGCTCTTTCCCCAGCACCTTCTCCCTCCCCTCCAGCGCTCGTCGGTTCATATCTTCAGCCTGCTCGTACTTCCCCTGGTATCGCAGCACCAACGCTAGGTTGCTCACGCTCGTCAGCGTGTCGGGATGCTCTTTCCCCAGCGCCTTCTCCTTCCCCTCCAGCGCTCGTTGGTTCATGTCTTCAGCCTGCTCATACTTCCCCTGACCTTGCAGCACCAATGCTAGGTTGCTCAAGCTCGTTAGCGTGGAGGGATGTTCCGCTCCTAAAGCAGCCTCCCGTGCCTCTAATGCATTTCCGGACATCTCCTCTGCCTCTTTATACTTCCCCATCTCGCTTGCATACCACCCCGCCTTAAACAGAACCGACGCCCACGCCTTAACCGCCCGTCCACCAGCTGGCCGACATGCTACTACTGCTCGTGCGTGCAGAAACAGCGCTTGACACACTGTCCAGTTCTCGTGCCGTCCTACTGGGTAGTTGTCGTCCATAAGCGTTACGTACACCTCTTTCCACTCCTCTAGTTCATTATACAGTTCCAGCCATTTCTTTGTGGAGAACTGCACCAGCCGATGCATCTTAAATTCGCGCCCATCCACGCTTATCCCAATTAACGAGTAATTCATTAACGTGTGAATGTCCTCTTCAAAGTCAGCTTTTCTATCCTCGTCTCGCTGATATCGACCCTGGAGAAGCAATTCCGGAATCCCCTGTCTGTCGAAAAGACTCATTAGCGAGAGTAGTCGAGCGGCAGTAGGCATCTCTCTCCGGATATGTTCAAATGAGATCTGCCACGTCGCGATAATAGAGTTGGATGCCCTGCCGTCCCTGCGATTGTCTTGAATGCCCTTGCTAAGTAGACGCGCTCGGTCGTGGTCGCTCCTGCGGACTTCGTCTCGGTATCGCGAGATGGTTATGCGTGGTGCTCTCTGCTTAATGTAAGCCGCCGCCTGCGTAATGGCGAGGGGCATATAGTCTAGAGAGTGTAGTAATTCGACGGCGTCGTCTTTGTTTACGTTACAGCTGAGCTTCTTCTGAAGAAGAGTTAACGCATCGCTCTCGTCCATTGGATTAACCTCAACAATGCTAGCGTGGTTCCCCGTCAGTCCATAAGCTAGATCTCGGCTCCGAGAAGTGATGAGGATTGATCCGTTTAGCGATTGCGGTAGGAAGTCTGACACTGCTGCTTGACCTGGACTACTAACTCCAGCGGATTGCGTTCCGTGATGTGGAGGGAAGAAGACAGCCGAATCGTCAGCGTTGTCAACAATCATCACCCATCGCCCGTTCGACTCGTCGCAGAGCCAGTTGTGGACGAGCCGCAGAACATCCACTTTCGGGTTGTCCAAGCCGTCCATCCTTGTTGTCTCAGCGATTCTCCGGTACCCCTCCTCGAACCTCGCCTGCGTGCCGGCGTGCACCCAGAACACCCATGTTGTCGGCGACCCGTCCTGCAACTTGTCCCGCACCTGGTAGGCGTATTCGATGGCAATCTGGGACTTCCTATGCGAGCAATCAGTGTTGGCACTACGTTTGCGAGGCGCATTGCTCACCCAACGCCTCCAAGTCCGACGAGCGCCGCGCGAGCTGCTGGCTTAGCGCAGATCTGGCGTACCTTGTCGAGGCTGTCGCGGCTGATGAAGTCGTCGTCCCGCCGGAAGGGGACAGTCGAGGACGGCAGTGGCTTAGCAGGCCGTTGGTCCTTCAAAGACTCTTCGATCTCCTTCCGCAGCCGAATGAACGCTTTCTTCTGTCCCTCGCCGTATATAAGTGGCATGTGGATGTCGAAAATGCCTAGCAGAGAGTATGCCGCATCTTCTTCGCGTTTTGTCTTCCGACTCTCTGCCCATGACATTCGCTCATCAACGCTAAACTGAGATAAAGGGCTTCCCTGAAGGGCTCGAATACAAATTGCTGTAGCGTTGTAAATCTCCTCCTTGAGTGAAATTCTATCCCCAAGTCGTTGGCCCTCGGCGGAAAAGAATTCGACAGATGTAGGAGCGAGGAGCTCCTGCAGCGTCCAGCCCCGAGTAAACCATCTGCTGTTCTGAAAGGCTGGTTCCCATGTTCCGACCGAGCCACTGTCGAAAACATCGGTCAAATATACGTAGCATTTATCTGCCTTACGGTACCATTGAAACATGGAGTTGATGGCTTCCGAAAGCTCTGCACTGCTTGATTTGTCGATACAACAGGTGTCAATCCAAAAGTATTCCAAGTCGTCTTGTGCAGCTTGTTCTCCACAGAACCGGATCTTTTTATAGCCAAGCTTATCCTCGCCCGTGCCGTTTGTTAGGTCTTCAAAGGTGACCTCCTCGGTGTCCGCTCCCCATGTGTGTGAAAGTATCGCATAGGGAGGGATTGCCTCGTCGCCAACTATATCCTTAGTACGACTGAACTCGCCATTGTCGCAGCGTCGCAAAAGACGCATTGTATCGCATGGAGCTGGGCGGGGGCAAGCGGAGGGAATAGATTTCGGCCGGGTTCAAACGCGGCAGCCTAACTGAAGAGACGAGCAGGGCAACTCGCTCGTCCGTTGAGAATATCAGTCCTAGCTACCAAGGTTAGCAAGTATACAGGAGGAGAGGACGCTGAGCTATACCAAAGAATCGCATCTGAAAGCGAGACAGCGCAATAGTGCTGTGAGCGAATCCTGCTGTGCCTTGCTATATCCTTGGTTTTGTGAGGAGAGAGTTTGGACAAGCTCAGCTCTGAGCGGGGTGCGCCTGATTGCACAGCCCGCAGTGTGGCGCGCACTGCGCGGTAAGGCTAACATGCCAACGGCAGAAGGCGAAATTCTGCTTATACCTTAAGAAGTGGACGAACATCTTAGTGACGCTAGCACACCCCTTGTCAGCTCAAGCTGTGGTATAGAAGTACCTTCTTGTACCGCGGTAAATCACGTGCCTAGGCTAATGGTGCCTAATTGGATACGTAAGGTGGGGTAGAACCGTGTTGTGGCCACGTTTGGGGTGAAGCCGCATTCGCTTGCGACTGTATAGGATAAAATTTGAATAAAGATGCCACTTTGAGATGTGTTGGTCATTAGTGTCATTGCTGACTGCTCCAGAGTCGGATTATTATATTCCGAGCGTCCGCACAGCCATAGGCCTAACCGCCACAGGCCTAACAGCCACAAACTTGGCTTACTGGATGACATAAGTAAATTACACCGTGGTGATTATGTAGGACATGCGGGGTTATTTTGCACTAGCCGAGAGTAGTAAGTGCTGCAATCGGAAGTACCGACCAGGGTGGCGACCTTGCATGAATTTGCGTGCGATAGCAGCTGATGACGAATTCTCAGTATGGTAGTGAGGTTATAAGGCTCGGATAAGGCCCTTTTATGAGCATCAGGAGTGATGGGTGCTCGATGGTGCTGTGGCGACGGAATTCAGTTACGCCATAAAAGAAGGCTCTCTGCAAATCAGGCGCGAAAGCGACGATGCGAACGTAATTTTTAGGTGGGAGGTGTTCTGAGTGTTCAGGAGTGGCTACAGTAGACGACTTATATAGAACTATAGGAAATCTTGATGTGTGCACCGAGTCTAAGTTGTTTGAAGTCGAAGTACCCCTTATCTTTTCCGGCACGGTGGGTTTTCCGCGACCTAGGGAGGGACGTTTATTCCAAAACAGGTCATTGTATAATTTGTACCACTTTCCTTTTTATCATAAAGCTCACCTCTTGAGGCATCGACAATTCTATACAAAAGCAAAAAGATTTCATGAAGATGGTGTAGTTTTCTTTTCGAGATTGAGCCTCCTGAAGCCTTCTCAAGCTTTGTTTTCATGCGAAGATCCCGCTCATGGCCACATCGAACAAAGCGCCATCAACCACTCACATGGCCGCCACGTGACAATGCAACATCGAGTACCGTCCCAAAACAGTGCTCAATAACCTCAACCCGCACGAGTCGCAGTAGCAGCAACAAAGCCAACCGGCCCCATGGCGTCAACCGAGCCAGCCAGCCCTCTCATCCCTCCCCATGCCGCCATATAACTTATTCACCGCCGCCTCGCTGCAACTATGATCCGTGAACGCAAGTCTAGCCCATTAGCATGGCAAACATCGACCCCGGCCGCGACCGCAGCTTCCTCGACCAACCATCCCCATACCACGACCACGACTCCTTCGACGACGTCCCCGTGTCCCGCGCCAGCACCTCCGCTCGCCCAATGTTCTCATTCCTCAAACGCTTCCAGTATGCCAAAGTCGGGCACCAAGGCCCCGACGACGGCGGCAACGAGCACAAGCAAGAAGCATTCGCCCAACGCGAACAAGACCACCTCACAGCAAGCGCCGAGCGCTGGTTCACGCCCTTATTCCTGCTGCTCCTGATGTCGAGTCTGCTCAACGTCTTCCTCATCTTCAACGGGCCCAACTCGGTCTCCCAGGGCCTCCATCTGCACAAGCAGCGCAACCACAACCCGCACTCGTGGGAAGAGAAGCACGACGGCAAGAACGTGACGTGCTACGAGACGCACGAGCACCAGTTCAAGGCAAACTACGACTTCAGCGACGTGTACCCCAGCCACGACAGCCTGTGGGAGGCGCTGCAGGGCGAGTCCGCGGGGCTGGTGTACACGGACCGGAATCGGCCGGACGGGAAGGTGAGGCCCGCGGGGATCGCGATGTTCCACCAGCTGCACTGCCTTGCGGGCTTCCGGCATGCGATCCAGCAGCTGCAGGCGGGCAAGAAGATTGGGTACTCGGTGTTCACGGATGTATCGGAGCATCGGGGCCACTGGCCGCATTGTTTTGATTACTTGAAACAGAGCATTGAGTGCTATGCGGATGACTCGATTGAGGTGAGCAGGATTGATGCGGGCGGGTTTACGTTTGATGGGTATGATAGTCCCGGCAGGCAGTGTCGGAATAAGGAGTGGTTGTATGAGGTGACGAAATGTGGGCAGGAGGGGTGTCCTGGGAAGGAGTTTGGGCATACGGAGAGTGAGCTTGCGAGGATGAAGGTCGAGGAGGCTGAGGCGATTGAGAAGTGGAAGAAGGAGACTGGGTGGACCGGGGAGTTTTCAGGAGTGGGAAAGGACTGAGAGGAAGGGGTGCAAGGTGATTTATGCGTGGATAAGAGGCTTGTTGGATTGTTTGATGGGTTTCGGGTCATACCCTGGTGAGATATGGGAAAGTAGACTTGGTTCTGGTGTGGAGTACATTCTCGTCGTTGAGACACCACATTACTTCAATAAAACGCTCCGTACTGGCTTGATGTGATCCAGATTGGACAGTGACCTACAGTATGCTGAACTTCCATATTTAGCTCCCCAAAACGTCTACCTTCACACTCTGAGCATATTTGCTAGCCGATCAGCGTTACTACAAATGCAACGTTCAACTACTCGATGAGGTTCTGCCCACCGTCTTGCTCGAGCAAGACTCTAGTCATCAGGATAGCCAGTTCTGGCATCCCCTGGAAAACTTAATAGATAAAATACAGAGGCGGTCTGATGGAATGCTAGCGTATGTCGTTAAGTGAGACCGCTAAGAATGAGGGCGAAGTGCAAGACAAACTTACGCGGGGCATCGTAGAATCTACTCCCTACGGACTCAACCTCTCCACCCTCCACTCCTCGCCCTCCTTCTCATACCTAAACCGATCATGCAGCCGACTCTCCCTCCCCTGCCAAAACTCCACCGCCTCCGGCACAATCCTCACGCCCCCCCAGAAATCCGGAACCGGGATCTTCTCCACCCCCTCAAACCTCTCCTCCACGCCCTTGACCCTCTCCTCCAGCTCCTTCCGTCCCTCCAGCACCTTACTCTGCGGACTCGCCCACGCCCCAATCCTACTCCCCCGCGCGCGGGTGTCATAATACACCTGGCTCTCCGCACTACTCAGCCTCTCCACCGCGCCCTCGACGCGCACCTGGCGCTCCACCTCGCGCCACCAAAACGTCAGCGCGGCCCGCGGGTTCGACGCCACGTCGGCGGCTTTGCGCGACGTGTCCCAGTTGGAGTACACGACGAAGCCGCGCTCGTCGAGCTCTTTGAGGAAGACGACGCGCGCGGAGACGGCGCCTGAGGGCAGCGAGGCCGTCGCCAGCGTCACGGTCTCCGGCTGGTACACGTTGGCGGCGTGGGCGGCCGCGAACCAGGCGTGGAATTGCGTGAGCGGGGAGGCGGAGAGGGAGGCGCGCGAGAGCTCGCCTTGCAGGTATTGCACGGCTTTTGTGGGGTCCGCGCTGCCGCCTGTGGGGGCGAAGATAAGTTTGGCGGGAGCAGGGGCGGTGGTGGAGGCGGTTTCAAGGTCTGTGGGGTTCTTTTTGGCGGAGTAGAGCATTTTGGCGGTTTTGGGGGTGGTGAAAGAGTTGTGAGATGATGAGAGTGGGGATGTTTGAGATGGTAGATATAGTTTTGCTGTCTTGAAAGCTGATGTATATAATGTTGAAGACTTTGTGAGAGTGAGAAGATGGCGGTGCATGAAGCTTTATAGCGCTTGCCGGGGTGTGCTATTCTAAATGCTGGCTGGTGATCCGGGGAAGGAGATCCTGAAAGGCAGGAGATTGAGGGATATTTGGCACACGAGTTGGGAGAAAATCCCGTATATCAGATGAGAGTGGGCTGATGGATGGACGTTGGAATAGTCATGATGGCATCCATTTTTTTTTTGGCCCCGCAGCGCCACACATTGTGGCGCTCTTAATCTGGTATTACACCAAAATATACGAATTGGAGGAGCCCGGAAAGGAGCTCAAATGATCTAGGATACTTTTGAGACTATTGAAGTATTGAAGTGCTCCTGTGCAACTCGAGGGTGATTCTTGGGTACCAATCACGTGAGCTCTCGCTAAGCACTACTGTCGGGACGTGCGGTGATTGCTCGCAGGATATTTCCCAAAAACCTCTAGTAAAAATTTAGGCAGAAGCAGAGCTCAGACATCTGTGTAGTTTCTAGCTATAGGTTCCTAGCTGTAGGTTCCTAGCTGTAGGTATCAGCTCGGGTTCTACTATAGCCCGAAAGCTTCATTTCGGAGAGCTCTAGAGCCCGACTCTAAAGTCTATATCTACGGGGTCGAACCAAGAGATGCGCTGGATGAGACTCATCTATCACTACAACTCTCAAATAAAATAAATGCTCTCTGATCAAACCTTCTTAAACCTACCCTGCACACATCAGTCGCGCTTTTGATATCAATCGATTCCATCATGTCTCCCTCTCTCCCCAGAATCGCCATCGTCGGCGGTGGCCCCGCCGGCTTAACCACCGCTGTCCTCCTTCACAAGGACAGTATCCCCTTCACCATCTTCGAGCTCCGTCAGAAGCCCACAGACGAGGAGCTAGCCAAGCCATCTGGAATGCTCGATCTACACGAAGAATCCGGCATCGCAGCTCTCAGAGAGTGCGGCCTCTTTGACGACTTTCAGAAGCTCACAGGCGAATGCACCGAAGCGCAAAAAGTCGCAGACAAGGATGGCAACATCCTCTACAGAGACGAAGGCGAAAAGAGCGAGCGCCCTGAGATCTCCCGCCACAACCTCACCAAGCTCCTCATCTCTCATATACCCGCCGCCCAGATCACGTGGGGCCGCAAGCTCCTCGCAGCCACCAGCTCCATCACAGCGTCGAGGCATACTGAGATTGAACTCGACTTTGGACCCCACGGAAAGCAGACGTTTGATCTGGTCATCGGCGCAGACGGTGCCTGGTCCAGTGTTCGCAAACTGCTGACGGGCGTGAAACCGCGCTACGAAGGCAGACAAAACATCACCCTAACTATCCGGGAGGTCACGAAAAAGTACCCGCATCTATCGGACCTGGTGGGTACAGGCACTTTCGCCTCTCTCGGTGGCCGGCATGGAGTTATGTCGCAGCGTGGTCCGCAGGACTCAGCCCGCATATACATCTTTCTCACGATCGACGAGGAGAACTTCGCTACCAAATCTGGCCTAGCGAGCCAGACAGCAACAGCTGCAAAAGAACGCATTCTGAGTGACTCTGCGCTGATAGGGGCCTGGGGCCCTGTCATAAAGGAGCTGGTGACGGTGGCATGTAAGGAGGAGACAGGCGACAACCCGGGAGCCATGGTGGACATCAAACCACTGTACGTTTTGCCAGTCGATAATGCATGGGAACATAGGACCGGCGCCACTATCATTGGGGATGCGTCGCATCTGATGGGCCCCTGGGCCGGCGAGGGCGTCAATCTCGCCATGTGGGACTCACTGCTGCTAGCCCACGCCATCGTCAAGGCGCACGAGACCGCCGGTAAGGATGCTACGGCCTTTCAGAGGGCACTCGATCCGCTGGTGAAGGAGTTCGAAGTCGACATGGCGGCGCGCTCTAAGGAGAAAGCAGAGGAGTCTAAAAAGAACGGCGAGACGATGTTTGGGGAGGATGGAGCGAAGGCGTTTGTGGAATTCTTCAACATTCATGGGCCACCGGCGGAGCAGGCAGCTATTTAGAGCTAGGCTATAGAGTATTGTTGTATCAAATTGCTACCTGAAGGAGGCGGGAGTTTGAATACGGTGGATACTGCGTGTTAGGAGGGGTGTATATCTGTAAGATCAAAGAGAGTGTAAAATCATAATAAAGGAAAGAACGCCTATCAAAAGTTCTACCAATCTGGTGGTGCCCATGCGTGCCTTGTCCAAACCGAAGTAATGTGTCATATGTGGAACGCAGGCGCCGAGAAAGGTCAAATCCTGAAGAGACTATATGTGGATTTCAGACGTGCTATATTAAACTTTGCAGTATTAACAAGAAAGTGATGCCTTTTGACCAAGTGACCTTCGAACCAGTTCAGCGTATTGAACATCAGCGGAGGAGACCTAGCTACATAATTTCTCTCGGCATACTCACAGCCCATGCGCCATCTTCAAAGCGGCACAAACATCGTTCTCGTACTGCCTCGCCTTCGCTAACGCCTTTGTCATATGCATGAACGGGTGCGGAACGCCTAGATACCTACATAATTCGTGAAATCAGCATTGTATAAAAGTCTAGCGACACCGGACCACTTTGAAGGGGGGGATAACAGACTTACCTCTTGAATATGACCATTCCACCCGCTTCTACCATCTTCCGCCCATACGCCTCGCCCTCATCAACCAGCGGATCGCACTCTGCGGTGATAACGAACGCGTCACAAAGCTCTTTAAAGTTAGGTGCATGGAGAGGCGCGCGCCACATCAACGGAACCTCCTTCTCAATAAAGTCGCGGTGCTCATCGGGGAAAACATGGCTCTTAAAAAACGCGAGACGGGACGCTGGGAGACTGGGAGCCTTTGCGAATCGGGCGACGGATGGTAGAGGGTGAAAAGGCGCGTGATGGTCTGGCGTGGGGAAATAGGTATGGAAGTCGGTTGTTGGGACGCTGAGGATAGCTATGAGATGGTCAGACCAGTGGGAGCATGGTTGATGAGATGACGGATGCGAACTGACCGAATTTCAGTGGGACTCTCGCATCGCGGGCCATATGTTGAAGTACACAGGCTATTTGACCACCGGCGGAGATGCCGCCAATCGATATTGAGTCTGGGAGACCGTTCGTTTCAGATGCATGCTCGTGAACCTAGGGAGATGTGTGAGCCAGCGCTGAGAACAGTGGGAGATATTCGAGGTACCCATTTCAATGCAGCCCAGCTGTCCCCTATGTTCTTGCCAAAACGATGCTCTAGCTCTCGTTAGCTGCTGTGGGTAATTCTTATAGGGAATAATACCTGGACAAAGACGATAGTCTACGTCTATTACTATGATACCAAGACGGTCCTTTAGCATCATGCAGAACTCTGCATCTGCCGTTAGATCGCCGAAAACGAACCCGCCGCCTGTGAGGCCTTAGTATTTACATCTATCTCTAATCTGATCACTGCGAGAATACCGTGAAAGTTGATATGGACTGGAAAGGGCCCCTCTCCATGCCGAGCTGGATCTGGATTGTAACTCCGGCATTTCACTTGATATCCATCGTCCGAAGGAATGGTGAAGTTTTTGACGCCTGGACTGCCCGTGTAGTCTTTACACCACGAGCCTGACCATTTCTCTGGGTTTGCGCGGACTTCAGAGAGCGGTATGTGATGGGTCGCGATTTTCGTTCCCAGGACAGAGTTATAGTACTCTACAAATTCGGGGTCGAGAAGGCGAAGAACAGTTGGATCGAGTGGGTCGTAGATTTTTGTTGCTTCATTAGTATCTTTTGTATCTCCTACAAAGGACATCTTGAAAGATCGTTAGGTTATGTCGTCAAGGCTCTTGGTGGACGTGAAAGTAGACGCGAGAAGTGCGGAAGTGAGGTTCTATAAGCAGTTCCTTAGGAGTGGGGTAAAGTGATCTACGCAATATTGCTAATCAGTTTCTGATAAGAGCGCCTTGCGCTCGGAAAAGCCCTTTGTATGATTTTCCAATTGAGAACGTTCGTGAAGTTATCCCGAATCGGTAGTGCTATATTCAATTCCTTCATCACTTTCGAAATATGTAGCTTCGAATCTGGTAGGCTAATCGAGCCTTTCAAGTTCGTTCTGCGACAGAAGAGCAGGTAAAGATTTCATCGTTTCGTATGTCTAAGGGCTCCTGATATATGATTGTTCGTGTTCAGAAAAATCGCACCGGCGCATCCTGATCAATGTTCATCAGTTTGTGCTGCTATCGCACTTGTGACAGCATTTTCCTAGATCTGCCTTTGAGCGCAAGGAGATTCATCATAGTTTTGATGTCAGTGTCAAAGCTTGCTTCGCAATGTCAACGCCACGTGCAGCCATGCCCCTATTCTTACTTTAGTATCATTAGACAGAAAATGGGAGGAATACTTACCAAGATGCTTGATAACCAGCTCCAGACGCACCATAGTTGTGTACAACTAGGACTGATCCGCGTTGCTCGCCTTCAATTCTCGCATTACCCTTTCTACTGGCTTTGGGGTTGTCAGTGCGACACAAAGTGCGGGGGAGAGCTGAATAGAAGGATAATGGCGGGAAGGAGGAAATAGAACGCGGCGTAGCGCATAAGCCCCAATAAAGCGCCCACAAGGCCTGAAGAAGGACAGTTTGGGAAGTACTTACGCCTTAACCCAACACCATGGCTGATCACCTGCAACTCCTCCGGCTTCCCCAACTCTGGACAAAGCGCGCAACACCTCCTCATGATATCCTCCGCAAACTCCAAATCCACGTCCCCGTCCCAATTACCCTCCTGCCGACATCCGCCCAGAATCACGCCGCCTCCCAGCGGACGCGGGAAGACGTATGTCGTGCTTGGATCAACGCGTTTCGGCGACCTGAAATACATCTTCGAAATAGGCGTCTTAGGTTCCGCAACCAGAACCACCTGTCCACGTGTGGGATATAGATCATGATCCTCGACGCCGCCCAGAGAGTACGATCCTAAGCCTGTGCAATTGAACACTGCGGCCGCTTGCGGGAAATCCCTCGACACGTCGTCGATATGCGGGTAAGATCTTCTGACGAACTTGATGCCCTTCTTCAGCGCTTCGTTCTGCAGCCTATCCCATCGTCAGATCAGCTTGTCTTATCACATGCAGCCATATCGCCTGCTAAGAGTCCACCTCACATCCACCAAACGCGTCGCCATTGCAACCCCATTAAAAGAACAACGAGCAAAACTTACCACGGCAAATAAACCTGCGTATTGACCACAAAAGTCCCCTCAATTTCCATTCCCCACTTCGCCCCCTCTGGTACCTCTTCCTTGCCCAACATCCTCAGGCCTCCCACTAGCTCCTCATACCACAGCTTCTCCCCCAACCCTCCTCCCTCTTTAACACTCAGCACCCCTGCCTCCTCAATCACATTATCAAAAACCGCTTTGATCCCCATCCGCTTGATCCCGCACTCGGGCCTCCTCCTCTCCAGCTCATCAAACTTCTCGAACGTGATCCGGTCATACGACTCAAACGCCCCACCGTCTGTAGCTACGCTGAGCCAATTAGCCCCAGCCCAAGGCGAGGCATAGATAGCGGCGCGGTCACCGGGGAAGTGAGTGGCGGTTATGGTGATGGGGGCGGTGGGAAAGGTGGTGGAGAGGGTGAGAGCGGTTGAAAGGCCGATCACGCCAGCGCCGAGGACAGTGAATTCAGGCGAGGCGGACATTTTGAGGATTTATTCTGAGAGTTTGATTTAGGTGATCGGATTCATGGATGAGGCGTCATGATGGTGGGGTATATATCTATTCGCGATCATGAAGGCGCAGAGTCATGCAGAGGCATTAAAAGTGGGATAGTTCGTGATGTTGGTTGTGGCTTGCTGGAATGGGAAACTCGACGCGACGGTTATTTAAGCGTTGGGTTGTGGTCAGGGTAAATGCCTATTTATAACGAGTCAAATAGTAGTATTGCGTATGTGGAGGTGGCAAAAGAATAGTGAGTCAATGTTGCACTTTAGAGAGTTAATTGCCGTCCGCTAAATGTCTCATTCCAAAGGTGCACACTCGCTTGCCACTATCTAAGGCTTTTAGCTTAGCGCATCCTTGTACTGTACTCCAAAGATCCTGGAGAGCATGAATTGGAGTGATTTCGGAAGTGCCCAATTTGCATACCTCACCCTGTTCGGCGCAGTTTAGCAAGCCATCAAAAGTCTAGAAGGCAGGCCGAGGTCAGCGGGAAGAAAGTATACACAGACTAATGTCGTAGTAACCCAAAAAATCATGTTAATTTCACACAACGCTTTAAAGGAGTCAGAATTTGCATTATCAAGTTGAAAAATCATGTAAATAGGAGATGAACACTACGCCATCCTCAAACATGAGAGCCTAAAAAAATACTGAGAGAACTCGCACGAAGACGCCGTGGCGCCATGAAACCGTCTTCTAACACAAGAGGATTATATTAAAAGGACCATCATCGCCACCACCACCAGTCCCAGGCACACCGCTGTAGACATTCCTAAGGACTTTTTACATTGGCCAATACTGAAAAAATGTTGGAAATTCTGTTGAAAGAAAGAAAATAATTGGGAACCATCCACAGATTGTTCAGGATATGGACACCCGGCTTTGTAAGAATAGTATGCCGCAAGTGTAGATTTGTAAAGACAGACATTTGAGCTCGCATAGTTTTGTTCAAAGGAAGGATTCGAAGCATGTAAAAAGCCTAATGCAAGATCTGCATGAACAGAGGATGAAGAAACAGTGCAAGCATCAAACTGACAGGCAGGAAGAGAAAGCCCAAAAACTTGCATTAAACCAAAATGAATGGTATGGAAGAATCGGAGCCGCAATCAACCAAGCGTTGCGTAAAAAGATAGATAAACCACAGAGCGTACCAAGTTTAGTTCAAAGCTAACTCAAGACAAGCATAAAGACATAAAGACCACAATCGCGTGCGCAGTATCCCCTTTCTCGGTAAGCCAAATGAACCGCACCATATTTCCAGGATGACAAAATAGAATGATGATATACCCAAAACGACAGCATGTGAAACAAAAAACACCGCGACCGACCAACCCACCGACCGACTGGACATAACAGGAAGAGATGCGCACATGGTATACTTTATTAGGTTCCGGGCAAGAACATCAATGTACGAACCCGCGGGGTGAGAAAACATTAAGCCGACTCCAAGACGCCAATCCTTAGGCGGCGCCAATGTCGACTATTGCATCCAACTGGATGACAAACGGGAGACTTTGCCGTGGAGAAAGCTACAGAGAGGGTGCAGAGAGGGGAGGATTGAGGTAAGACGTCGAAAGCACGAAAGGCAGCTATGATTGTCATAGATCGCCTCCCGCTTCTACGCCGTCGAGACCAAAGTTGAAATCGCCTCCCAAAGGCCCAAAGGCACCCGTGTCTTCTGTGTGAAGGAACGAGTCGAAGTCGAAATTTTCGAGGACATCAGGTCCATCGACTGTTGGGAAGTCGAGGCCATTAAACTATTCATTGTTAGTGCTGTCGTGAACTGTCGGGATAGAGTCGATCCTACCTCTTCGCCAAGATTTCCGAACGGAGCGCCAGGATTGTCCATGGGAGGTTGCTGTACTTGAGGCGCAGGGGCCGCAACGGACTGTTGCGATTGTACATTGCCCTGTTGCCCATTTTTCTGGTTGGGGTTGAATGAGTTCGCATTCATTGGGTTAATTGGAGTCGACGGCGTGGGCGTTGGAGCGGTATCTCCCTCTGTAGCAGGTGCGGTTGCAGCATTCCCCGTGTTCTTCTTCGTAGGCTTCTGTAGCGCAAGTTGATTAACGGTGATCCTGAATGAAATAACGAGGGCACGACTTACCTTCTTCGTTTCCTTGTTATCCTTCTTCCTTGTGTTCGCCTTCGTGCCTTGGGAAGGCGTCGGAGGGGCGGGGGGTTGTGCTGGTGATGAAGGCTGTGTCCTTGCAGGCTCACCAGTCGGAGGTGCAGGCGGAGGTGGCATGGCAGAATTCCTCTGTTGGGGTGTGCCCATTGGTCCTGGTTGTTGGCCTTGGTTTGGCATTAGTTGAGGGCCTTGTGGCCAATTACCCCCATTTGGAATCCGGCCACCGTTGCGTGCAATGGTCTCCATTTGCTGTGGAGTGTATTGGCCGTTGTTGAATTGCGGGTGGGAGCTAGGTGGCCTCATCATAGCGTTATTTGGCATTTGCTGATAGTACTGCGGCGGCATTCCAGGCGGCATCTGGCTGGGATCGAAACCATTGGGACCAGGGGAGTTCCGGTTCTGCTGCATGTCGGCAGCCATAGGAGACCCAGGGAGACCTTGCGGGCCCATCTTGGGCGTCTGTTTCCTCATTTGGTCGTTAGGATTTGGCGATGGTCCGGCTCGACTGCCTGAAGGCGACATGGATGGGGCAAATCCTTGGGCGTTGACCGGCGGTTGGCCATGAGGACCTTGGGCCATGTTGTCTTGCTCTTGGCGAGCCATCATCAGGCGCTTCTTGTTCTGCTGCTCCAGCAGCATGAGCTGCATCTGGTAGTCCTGGAGAGCGTGGTTCCCTTGTGGTTGGCCGGGAGCGCCGCCGGGCATTCGAGGTGTGCTGTTGAAGAGGTCTTGGGATCCCTCCAAGCCGCCCTGTCCCATAGGAGAGCCTTGCGCTATGCTGGGGTTTATTCCCTTCGCCATTGTATGGTTAAAGGCTGTTCTCTGTTGGTGGGCCAGACTCTGGGTATATACCTCTAATGACTTCTGCTGCGCGTTCTGCGCCTGCGATGCAAACTCGAACTGACCAGACATGTCACCAGGATTCAGGCCATTCGTAGCCATCATCTGGTGAGCATTCGCTGCGGTCGACGTAGCCCCCATGGGCTGTGGCACCATTCCCTGACTCCGGGCCCCGCCCATGGGTTGGCCGTTAAAGCCGTTCCCCTCAAGTCGCGGTCGCTTGTTTGGCGACGGCGCATTGTTGGCGGAGCCTGGCGACTGAGGGCGCTGGCCTATGTCCATGCCAGAGCCATCCCGCGACATTTGCGCAGACATGAGGGCTTGCTGATTCTTCATGTTCTGCTGCATCTGCTGGAGTTGCTGCGGATTCCTATTGGTGAGAAGTATACATCAGCCCACGTGAAATCGCGTGACGCTAGCTAGGTGAACGTACCGATTGTTCTGCATGGCCTTCCTTTGCAAGTCGTTGGGGACTCCCATACCGTTGGGCATTTGCTGCATCATGTTCCGATATTGCATAGAGTTCATAGAGTTGGCCATGAGCTGCGACCTCTGCTGATCGTTGCGCAGTTGCGCAGCTGCCTAATCCAAGTTATCAGCAATCGCATCGCCAGAATCCACGCGAATCTGATGTTTCTCACTCTTGTGTGGTTTAGATACGCGTGAGCGGACGACGTGCCTCCACGCCCCCGCGCGGCGCCGAACAGCTCCCAAAACTGATACCACCAGTCTAATAAAAATGAGTTGTCGGTCGATTGGTTTTCGGGCACATCCGGCAGTTCCAGATCGTCCGGGCGGCCTTGAAGGCCATTCGCCTTCGAGTCTGTGTCCATAGAATCCACGCCGTTCGTAGCCCGACCGTTCGGGTTTCCCTTCTGGCCGGACTTCAACTTAACTGGGGCCTCGTCCTTGAAAAGCCTGGCGGTCTGGTAATGGCTGTTCTTGAGAAGGTATTCGTAGATATAGGTGTTCAGCTGCTTGTTAGCTTCGTCCATTGGCTGGTTGCGACGGTTGTTCATCGTAGGCGTGCCGCCCACCGGACCGCCGGCGGCGTTCATACCCACCATGTTGACCTGCTGATTCATGGCTCTTGCGTGCGGCCGCACGAGTAGAGGGCTGCACGTCGACGATGGCGCGGTGAAGCGTGCAGCAGAGAGCCTCGGTGGTCAAGCGCTCGACCACAAGGCGATTACACGACGCGAGCGACGCTCAGAGGGTATGGAAACAGGTTATAGGAGCATGGGATGCGTGGCGATCACGGAGTCGTGTTCGGAGCAGACGGAGAGCGGCAGCGGCGGTCTGACGGCGAGTGCGATCGGGCTCGACGATGTCGAGGGGAGAAGGACAGTCGACCTAGACTGAAGCGCAACGGGGTTAGAATCGTGAATGAATGCGGGCGCGCGACGTTGGGGAGATGGTGTGAAGGCAGTAGGGCGGGTAGGGTCTTAGCGACGGTGGTGAGAGGGCGTGGGAAATACCGGGCTAGGGGCGTTGCCAGCAGCGATCACGGGCAGACTCAGGGTGAGGGGCGACGGTGGCGGCCACGCACAACCACGTATCGCGCGTCGATGAGGGTAGCGATGGCGGGCGCGGGGCGATGGGCGCAATGAGGACGACGGGGACAGCTGGACAGGTCTGGTAGGGGGAGAATTCTGAGGGAGGAGGGGATGCTGCTGCCAGCCACTGAGATGGTGCCAAGCTGGAGGGCGGCCTCAATTAGGCCGGATCACGTGCAGCAGCAGAACCGCTGTCCCGCGCCGTCTCGCGACAGCAGCGGCGGATCTGGTGAGGTTTTTCGAGAGACCTTCACTGAGCGAAGCCATGGTTACATTAGGGGTCCATGTTGGGGACGTTGGGGTGTGGGTCATCTGATCGCTGGACCAAGGTACGCAACCATGCGAATCTTGGGACGAGACCCTATCGTGTCTATTTACAGAGGAGAGGTTCGATCTGGCAAAACCCAGCCGATACGACCCCACAACGCAGTGGGGAAGGCCAGCGTCGTCCTGGCGAGTTTGAACGTGAGCGCATGATTGTCCAGAGTTGTCGACGCTGTACTCCAGCTGCGTTGGCGATTGCGTGACCCACGGGCGAATCAGATGAACATAGCAAGCCGCTCCACGTTCGCCATTCAACGATCTCCTCTCAACAGCGCTTTCTCGCCATAGTCCTAGAGCCTTCGAGAGTGTTGTTGGAGCAGTCGCACACTTCAGCATGGTGCTCACCATCAGCCGAAGTCGTAGTAGATGAGCTGCGCTGGCCTGCGCTTGGGGCTGTGTAGCCGTCGATGTAGAGTACCTATCTGGTGGCAGTCCTCGTCGTGGGAAGTGCACTCAGCACTGCAAATAGCAAACGCCTGACTCCGTCCCAATGCTAATCATCCTGACCGATACGCCAATGTCACGCGTGAGCTCTTGCTGCGCGCACCTACTCGTCGTCAGGAGGCATTTCGTCGTCGATGTACCTGATCAGTGATATCCTCATCTCAGTCGTGTCATTGCCTCGCAGCACGTCACTGATGAAGTGGGCTTCAACCTGCATCTGAACCTGAAGACGACAGGGTCAGTACGAGAACATGCCGGACAGTGTGACCGTGAAATGTGGAGTGAGGCAGAAGTATTATATACCATTTCCAGAGCGCCTCGGAGCACCCCGCAAAGGATGTTCGAGTACCACAGCTCGTCTTGCGCTCTGCCGTCATCCGGAAGCTCCACGAAGTCTGCCAATGGGTTCTCCTCAAATAGCAGGGAGAACTGCTTGTTGTCGCTGGTCCAATTCGTGATTGTGGGTGTGATGTTCAGGAAGATCTTGAAACCAACCTAGGGAGCGATGCATAAGATATTGCCCGTCTCGTAGAACGAGGGGGACATACCTTGGAGATCATCTCGGCCACTTCGCGGAAGTTGGAGCACGTCGGCGCATTCGACTTTGCGAGGAAGTCCTCAATCAGCCGCAGCCCGATATTGTAGCCCATCTTGTCCAGTTGTCGGTTGACCTCCAGGTAGTCGCTCTCGAAGTCTTTGCATAGTTGTGCTACGATAGTTCCGTATGTCAAAGTCACAAGTTCGGCGCTGACTTTGTCTATCCGGGTCCTTCAAGCGGTCAGAAGACTGCGATGATCCGGAAATCGCTCGGAGTGGCTAGGACTTACTTCCATACCCTGGCAATTATTAGCTTTACTCAATGATATGTAGGAAATGCTCACTCTTCGCCTAGACGAGCGGCTTTGGTTGAGGCCATGTTGACTCTTGGTCGTGTCGTGGGGTTAGAATGCGCACTGAATTAACTTCTGGAGGCGCACAAAGGACTAAGTAGCACTGTCTTGCTCAGAGAGTGGTATGTTAATCTTCTTGTCGTTGGATTTACCTCGCATATCAGTCCGAGATGCGAGAATGTACGGCGCGGCAACTTCCGTGCGCCAAGAGACGCTAGTGAGCTGAGGTGCCAGAAAAGTCAAGAACATCGCAGCTTCATGAACGCAGTCCCCCACGACCTTTCGCCTCCACTAAGTCCTCTCTGAATAGCACGAGGCTTACCAAGTCGTCCAAATCCTCAACATGTCCGCAGAAAAGCGCCCCGCTGCGCCGTCGTTTGGTTCCAGCCAGCTCGTCAAGCGCCAGAAATCCGATGCGAACCTGGGCAGCAGCGCAGTCGCAGTAGTTAATGGGTCCGCTCAGAATGGCGCTCTTATACAAGCAGTATGTCGCGCCGCAGACAGTTATCGCGCATCGCATGTAGCGCTAAAACATTAGAAAAGGAACGCATTGGCTAATAGAGGTGGGATGTTTAGGTACCACGCACGAGTGCGCTTCAGGCGCCGATAATGGAGTTGACTGGTACAAGTTCCCGTCCCGAATCCGATCAAAACTATCTCTGACAGAGCGGTATATCAGGCCATACAGGCGAGGTCTTCGCGACACGATTCGACCCTACCAGCGAGCACATAGCATCCGGCTCAATGGACCGATCAATCTGTCTGTCACCACCTCGGACCGCGAGGAGACTAGAGCTGATGTGAGACAGTACTATGGCGGACCTATGGACAGTGTGAGAACTATGGAGTTCTCAACGGACACAAGGGAGCAGTTTTGGATCTACAATGGTCTAGGGACTCGAATACCCTGTTCTCTGCTTCTGCGGATATGACGCTGGCTAGCTGGGATCTCGAAACGGGCCAGAGAATTCGGCGGCATGAGGGGCACGAGGAGGTCATCAATTGCATGGATCTAAGCAAACGCGGAGAGGAACTGGTGGTCAGTGGGTCTGACGATGGGTATATTGGAGTAAGTGGCGCTTTTTGCATCGTATGAAGTTTGGAGAGGGTTGTGCTGACGAGGACCAGATATGGGACCCGCGACAAAAGCACGCAATCGAATACATCGAGACCGAGTTCCCCGTAACTGCGATCGCTCTCTCGGAAGCGGGGAACGAGCTGTTCTCTGGTGGAATCGACAATGATATCAAAGTCTGGGATCTTCGGAAGAGAGCGGTGGCGTACTCCCTCATTGGTCACACGGATACCGTCACATCACTGCAGATATCGCCAGATTCACAGTCGCTGCTGTCGCATTCGCACGACTCTACAGTCCGAACTTGGGACATACGGCCATTCGCAGCTACAAACCGGCATCTACACACCTACGACGGCGCTCACGTCGGCATGGAGAAGAACCTCCTCAAAGCCAGCTGGGACTCGAAGGGCGAGAAGATTGCTGCGGCCAGCGGGGATCAGAGCGTGATTGTCTGGGATGCTCGCACCGGGAAGCTGCTGTACAAGCTCCCAGGCCATCGTGGATGCGTAAACGATGTGCGGTTCTCACCGCGGGATGAACCAATCAGTAAGTACATATTCTGGTTTTCATTGGTCGTCCCTTGCAGGCACTGCGGTGGAAATGGTTGAGAGGAGATCTTGTTTGGTGACCGGGCGGATTGAAGATGCTGTCCCCTCGTTACCGCACAGCCGACCCGTCCTGATCTGCGGGGACGGTTTCAGCCGGTGGCACCGACTTGAGGCTTGTTTGAAAATCGCTGACGCTCGGCACAGTCGTTTCTGGATCGTCGGACCGCACGCTGATGCTGGGGGAGTTGGGCAAGTGAGGAGAGGAGCGGCCGCTTTGACCGAGTGGCTTGATATTGCACGAGAGGAATAGGATGACTAGACCGAGGCGTCCATCGGCAGCTGGCTGACGCTGCTGGTGTCACAGGAGGCGGACCTTACATGCTGGACACATCGGTGAGACGCACTGCCACCAGGAACAGCAGGAGAAGTCATCAGTGCAAGACCACGCGTACACGACGCGTTGAGGACGTCCGATATATAGATGCGTACGACCACAAGCGGCGCCAAGTAACAACAAATGCCAAATCAGTGCATTTGCGACCTTGAAAACCCATTCATGCTCGAAGTGCAGAGCGCCTCCGTGCTGTGTTGGGCGCTGTTAGTGAAGGGGCATTGATTGGTGGAGCAAACCCGTAGCTGATCACGCCAAGCAACACCTCAACTAATTCTACCTGTAGCATTTCAGCACGCTGCATGTTTCATCCACCGCCTGTGGCCAACCACGACGCCCATGCTGCTGAATTATGGCCGCCCGCACGTGAGACGGCACAAGATTGCAGCGGGAGGGCCGGCAGCCTCGCCAGAAGGAGGCCTGCGGGAAGGGCTGAACCCCGACGCGTTTCAGGAGCTCTTTTGGACGACTTGACACCGCGCTTGTAGCAGAAGCGTGCTGGCCTCAATGCGCTGCTATCTCGACCTCCAGTGGTCGCGTCCTTGCAGGCAATCGTGCGACCTGCTCCCTTCTCCTGCACTCCATGTACTCTTTCCTTAAGTCCTCGTTATTGGCAGCTGCTGTTGACCACAGTTTCGCCTTTCTTTAACCCTCTTCTTTCGTTTGGCGTTGAGCTTTGAGCCACCGTTCTCTCCCTCTCTTCTTTTCTCCGGCCTTGCGCGTGTGCTTGAAGCTTGACTGCAGCTGCGCCGCCCATAGGTCTGCTCTTTCACGCCAACTACTTCTTAGAGGCCGCTCCGAGTCCAGGTAGTTCCCTCGAGACCAACCGATTGACCTCCAGCATGCTCAACTAGCTGTGAATGACATTGGACGGGCTCCAGTCATTCTTCTTCTGCGAAGCTGTTCCTTACATCCTCGCTGTCACTACCGGTGCAACCGTCCCTAGTCCGTTCAAAAACAACCGCATGGTCGGCAGTCCTAGTCAATCATTCGCTGTTAGCTCTGCCTAGTTCGTCGAGATCAACAACACGTGTCTAGGCTGGCTACCCGAGTACTCGATATAAGGGCTTTATTTCACGCTCATAATTCTGATTCTTGAGACTGCTCTCCAAGATCATAATTCGGGATAGCCGTTTGGGAGCATTACACTTCACAACAATGCCTCTTCCCCATTTTCACAGGCCCTCTCCAAGGCTGGACGATTCGCCCGCGCCTTCATCGGTATCTCGATTCTCCGTCATGCAAAACAATGTCCGCTCGATCCTCAATGGCAGCTCTGTTTACTCTAACTCGCCTCCCCCATCAAACAACAACACACCGAAGCTCCCATTGCTAGGCTTTCTTCGCAGGCCACATAGCCCTCCCTCTCTACCTCTCGCAGACTCCGAGCTCCGACGCGACTCCACCTACTCACAGTCTCCTCTACGGCCCCAACACACCGCAGGCTCATACATACGTGCGATTAACTCGGAGGATGTCGTTAGAGGACCTGTCGCGCCGGAAATGGTGCATACACGGAACGAGTCACATAGCTCATATGGCAGTGTAGACCCCGAGACGGAGCACCTTGCAGAGATCGTGAACCACAGTCGGCGAAGGAGGAAGCGTAGGAGGAGGACGAGGGCAGTACCAGAGCGGAGAGCGTGGATACGCAAGCGTGGCGAACGTGGTGTCTGCTTCCCATTCGTGAAGAGCCCTGCGGCACGAACGAAGTGCACCGCGTGCTTGATTTCAGGACTATTCCTCATCGTAGTGTTAACGATATGTAAGTATCTCCTACACTTTTGCGTCGTACTATCTAGAACAATTGGCTAACTTGTAATGCATAGACCTCTCCATCGCTCTCACACGACCACACCTTGGGCAGGAAGTTCATATCCTGTTCATCATGGTTATCCTCTGCACTACTATTTTCTTCTGCCACTCGCTCATTCGGCTTTGCATGCTTGCATTACGCCCGGAATCCGACCTCCCACACATCCCTAGCATGACCGGTCCAGATGGGTTCAAACCAATCCGCCCAATCCGTGTGCATCTCGCCCGGGACGAAGAGATTGGGGTTGGTAGTGAAGCGGCCGAGGTCGAGGCTGAGCCAGAGAAAGAAAAGGTCCAGATGCCGCCACCTGCGTATGGACTGTGGAGATCTAGCGTGGTACGTTTTCTCGTCTCTTCATAAGAAGATATAGAAACTAACGTTCCCAAGCGCGTCGACCCCAATCTCCTCCACTGGCAGCGCGCCGACGCCGCCGAAGCCAGCGGCGCTCTTCCAGCTACCCGACCGCCCTCTGTCTTCCCAAGCTTTTCATCTCACCCGAACTCGCGCTCCGGTTCTCTCTCCAACATCCATCAGCAGGCACCGGCGCCAGCGGACCGCGTTGAGGAGCCTGCGAGCCGTGATCCGCGACCGCCATCCTATGTTTCTGACGACGGCGTCGCCTATGTCGTTGCTGCAGTCCCGCGGAGCGTGGCGCCTAGCGTGACGGGGATGAGCGATGTGCATCCGGCGTGGAGGCCGGGCTTTGCGGTGTAGTGTGGTGTGTTGTGGGTGTGTGCTCTTGTTCCTAATACTCTTTTTCCTATGCATCGCTTCCTATGTATAGGTCTACCTATGGTATCTCCTGTGCGGCGTCTTGCGTCAGGGTCTGGCGTCGCGTTGACTGGAAGGGCAGTATTGTGTGAGTAGTGGTGTATTGTACCTAAGTAGTCGTAGGAAAAGTTAGAGAGGAGAGCAGAGTCGGGAAGAGTCTACCCTAGAGGTTAGATCACATTGATACCGTTTATTCCGTAAATTTTCCGTGTTTTGTCCTTTGGTGGTGATAGAGGCAGTGATTTACGCGTACCTCTGTAGATTTTATTAATTGGGAAGGAAGTGATATCGTGCTGGTAAGTGTTTCCCAATATTACAATAATCAAAGTAAGTTAGTGGCTAATGTGAGTCGTTGTAGACGTGCGGTGAGAAAACTTGGTGCACTGTTGCCACTGTCCGAGGTACTCCGACGCGTCGTCAGAAATTCAGATGAAAGTTACATTCTAGGCAGGGCGAACCGGAGCGTACCGAAGCGGTTCTGGAGGGTATACGAAGCCCCTGCCAGAGGTCTGGGCACACTCACTTACCACCGTTTGAGGTGCTTCAATAGATTATCAAACTTCCGGTAATATCGAAGGCCTGGAGAGCTTGAATCGGGCAAGTTTCAGGCGCTTCCCGTCGGCCTCCTTGGCCGCTGTTTGTGGTGCTTCAGCACATTATCATACTTCTGGAAGAGATCAAACAACGATGTGCCCAGACTTGTGTCCTGTATCTTGCCACCGCGATCTGTCGTTAATCTGAGGTTAGTCATTAGTAAACTAAAAAAGCGCGAACAAAACGCGTTTACCAACGTCAAACCGCAACCTCGCTCGAACACCTCACCCTCCTCATGATCCTCATCGCCTAAAGCCAAGTTTTCTACACAGTGGAGGGGGGCTCGGCCTCCCGCTGCGAGGATGGCGACTCCAGGCTCCAATCTTTTCGGGCCGCCCAAACCGCATAATCCGTTCAGCAGCCTGCAATTCTCAACAACACCGCAAGTATTGGCGGCCGTTCCGCGCGCAGAGTCTGCACTATCGACTCCAAAAGTTGTGATGCCGCGTCTTCAGCCATGCGTATTCCACACACCGTCCGCACCGATGTAAGAACGCGCCCAAGAGTAGCCCCATACTCGGTACTTAATTGACATACTGAAATAGCGGCTGTTATGGCTGCCTCATCTCTGTCATCGTCGGCTAGGAGAAAAAGGACATTCGGATCCACAAAGGCCTGCTCACCTACCACTCCGCATTCTTTGCTGCGGCCCTCAATGGAGGCTTTAAAGAGGGCGAGACTGGGATCGTTGAGCTGCCTGACGACGAAGTTGCAGTCTTTCAAGCAGTCTACTGCTGGTTGTACACTGGTCGGCTACATGATCCGCCTTCTTCCCCTCTTGCGAAGGCATCTAGCGCGCCCGGGCCGTTGACGCCTGAAATACCGCTTACCGGAGAAGTTATCTGCAAGGTCTTTGTTTTCGGAGAAATGAGAGGGATTCCGGCTCTCAAGAATGAGGCTATCGATCTACTACACCGATTCACGTGTGTAATGGAGTTCCCAACCATAGTTCTTCATTACATCTACGAAAACACCTCGGATGAATCTCTCATACGCAAGATGATCGTAGAGATGGCTGCGGACTTTTTCCTCAGTTGCAGCGATCTCACTTGCTTTAACACGAAGAGGGATCTCTTGCCAGCCGGTTTCTTGCTAGACCTTATGTTCAAGCTTGAGACACAAGACGGCAAATTCAAGGAAACAGGGAATACGGGAATGGTCAACCTCGACAGATGTAGCAAGTACCATGATCACTCTGGCCCTGGTGGGAAGCTGAGGGGATCTCAGGCGTCTGCTTGAAAGTGGGACATACATTCAGCACTGCAAGCTACCTCTTTCTGTGCGAATAGTCCTTGGGTTCCGGGTGTAGGGACTCTCAAGGTTTAGGTTGTGTATGCATGGCTGTCTAGACCGAAACAAAATGCTTTTCCATTTAACTCCTCTTATTGCACAATGGCGTACAATGCGCCTTTTCTGTTGTAGTGATACGGTCCGCTGGGCACGTCCCATATTTAACATCTTTCTCGACCATTCCAGCTCCTTGCCGGTCCTGCAGCACCTGAGCAGTATTACAGGTCCTCTTGCTTGCCCTTATCGAAGGTACTCCCGCACATGATATTGATGGAAATGTGTAACTCTATGCTAGGCAACGCAAATCGGAGCGGATTTGAAGGCGTCTAGTCGACCTAGGTTACCGCCGCTCGGAATAGATCCGCACACTTTAAGCACTTGGGAAGTGAGTTCAAGTGAGAGTGCAAAGACTTATGTCATAGCGCTGCATTGTCCTCGGGAGTGGTTAGTCGCTTTTGCGTCTCGGGGATTCGCCAGTGGGCATTCCATGAGGCGGCCCAAACTTGAACGAAGCACTTCTCCACTTCATCTCTATAGAGACAATTAGAGAATGGTTGGTCTCTCAGGACGTAGTGATTATGATTCAGTTAGGCGCGCTCGTCTTTACATCTGTTCCAGCTCATTCAGCTTATTGTGGATCCCAGCGTTGAAGACAATAGCTTGTCACGCAACTTTTCGGCATTGGTGTTGGATGGTCTAACCTTCAAAGAGGCTTTCCAATCTTCAGAGCTTGGTCTCAACGTCCTCGACAGCTGTGTACAACCCTCCCCTATTACTGTCGTCCTGGGTTTCAGATGCTGCACATAGCCGCTGCCTTAGACCATAAGCGACAGAAACTGAAAGTGATAGGCTGAGTATGCGACACTTCTCTCCCCTGCATGTTAGCTCCAAGCCTCTTAGCGTCGATCAGCCTCTCCATTCCCTCTTCATCTCATCCTCACCCTCACCTCTGCTAATGAGACTGAGTTATTGTCCAGCCCGATGGCGACGCCTCCTTCAGAGAAGCCAGCATTTGTAATGCCCCAATTGAAGAATTGCGACCATCCAATCCTTTCAGCACCGATGTGAGTATAGAGCTGAGCATCACGCTAGCATGATAATTGGCTGACTTGGTTTCAGTACCACCTGGGGCAACGTCATCTCTGTCATCGTTGGCGAAGAAAAGAAGGTCTACCAGATACACAAAGGCCTCCTACTCTACCACTCGTCCTACTTCGTCGGAGCCCTCAGCGGAGGTTTCAAAGAAAGCGACACCGAAATCGTCGAACTCTTTACAGACGAAGTGGCGGTTTTCGATGCTGTCTACTGCTGGCTCTACAAAGGGCACTTATTCGATTCGCCGACCTCCGGACAATTTATGGATATTACATTCCTATATGACCTCCTCTGCAAGATCTTCGTCTTCGGAGATATGAGAGGCATTCCCACCCTTAAAAACGCAGCAATCGACCTGCTGCACTCGTCGATATGTATGGAGTGGAAATTCCCCAAAACTCAAGTACGCTTCATCTATGAGAACACGATGGAAGGGTCCCTCTTGAGGAAGTTCATTGTGAATGTGGCAGTCTTGATTGCTTCTTGCGAGACCTTCCTCTCGATTGATAAAGATGGCACCAATTTTACGCATGAGTTCCTTATGGACGTTATCAGGGCGCTGAATGACCAGGGTGGAAAATGGCTTGTGATTGGGCGGGATGCCTTTGCGATTATCAATAGGTGCCGGTATCATGATCATTCTGGTCCTGGAGGGAAGCTGAGGATGGACTCAGGTTGAAATTGATGTGAACTCTGTTGTATTGTAGATGCCGTAAAGGCGGACTATATAGAGGAACGAGATGAACTACCCCTTAGGGCGCTCCCTTGGTCGTTCCCTTGGCAGCAAGGAAGGCGCTCCCTTGACAGCAAGGAAAAGCACTCCCTTCCCTTGACAGCAAGGAAAAGCACTCCCTTCCCTTGACAGCAAGGAAGCACCACAACTCCGTAAGGAAGAGGAAGGGAGAGTAAGGGATACCTAGGGGGGTGGTGTGCACGCAGGTGAACCGTATGAGTTGCTGATCCTAGGTTGCTGCAACCCGAGTGATGGCCGGGACGAAAGGAGAGAACTCGAACTGACTTATCCATCTATGTCGCGTACTTCTATATATGTTCAAGAGCCTGGAGTTGTGAGACTCTCCTCTCGAAAGTTTGGCTATTCGCTTCGTGGAACTACGGCGAATGTACAGTCCCTCGTGGAAGACCTGTGTATATGCTTTTACCGCTGCTTGTGGTGCTTCGAGGTACTTCAACACTTTAGCAAAGGTGAAAGTTGATGATAGTGAGCATCCGCAAGATTTGCTAGACCACCTCAGAAGCCGGCAGAAAGATATACACCATGAGCACCGGCTTATGACGTCAGTTTAATTCACTTCACTCAGATGCTTATCTAATCCTCGCGTCGCGTTTGCTACAAAGCCACGCCCCCAATCTCAACCTTTATCAGTCAACACACTCCTTCGCCAGCTGGGGCGGCCCACGTTATCACCATGGCCGCACCTGTGGTGCCTCCCACGACAACGATTGCGGAGCAGAAGAAGTTCATGATGCCGGACCTTAAACCCTGCCCGCGTGCGACTGCGCTTCCCCCGATGTAAGCACTTCGAGAGTACCTCAGCACAGGGTCCATAAAGCGCGTACGTCATGCTAACAGTGTATCAGATCAGCATATGATGACTTGGTCTCAGTAGTCGTCGGGGAGGGCAAAGAAGTCTTCCGGATTTACAGAGGCGTCCTGACTTACCACTCTTCTCACTTCGCTGCAGCATTGAATGGGAGCTTCAAAGAGAGTGAGACTGGAGTGGTGGCGCTGGGAGAGGAGGATGTCGAAGTCTTCAAGGCGTTCTATTCCTGGATATACAACCGACGTCTCCGTGACACCCCGGCTCCATCACACAATGACAATTCAGGTGAAGCGGAAAAAATGGCAGTAACAGCTTGGGAAGAACTTCTCTGCAAGATCTTCGTTTTCGCTGATATGCGAGGCGTTCTTGCACTCAAAAACGACGCTATCGACGCGCTTCATGAATCGATTTCTTGCTCCTGGATGTCAATCGAGGGAAACAATGTGCAGTACATCTACAACAATACCGTGGAGACTTCTCAGTTACGCCGCTTCGCCGTTCAGGATGTCGTCCTAGGAAGCAATAGTCTCCGCTCTCTCCTCGAATCTTTCCAGAAAGAGATTCGCAAGTACCCAATGGACTTCGTCATCGAGATACTGCAGGATCTTGCGAGCAGGAATGAGAGCGGGGCATGGCCGGATGTGGATGATCTGCGAACGAACTGGGCGAAGCTGGACACATGCCAATTCCACGATCACTCTGGGCCTGGAGGAGCATTGAGGAGGTCACCCGCAAGTAGGTCGGCCTTGGAAGCTATGGATACTTCAACCTAGCATGGTACAGCTCCTTGCGTATATTAGGGTACAGTAGCTCATCGTAGATCTGTGCTTAATTGTCTGCCAATGCGTGGACGGTCCTTCCTCGAACGCCTGTGTACATGCTTTTACCGTCGCTTGTGATGCTGCAAGGAGCTGCCAAGATTCTGGATAAAATGAAGGCAGATAATCGTGGAAGTTGCTAGGCTACCTAGGGGGGGGGGGGGGGGGGCGAAAAGGAGTACATACTGCTGTTTTCAATTCACCGCCCTTGAGCGCTTACCTAATTGTCGCTTCGCGCGTTCTACCACTTGGCGGCTTGACCTCACTCAGCCTCATGATTCATCTTCTTCGGCACACTTCTTCGCTGGCTGAGGTGGTCCGTACTACACGATAATGATTGGGTGATCGGGACGAATGAAGAGAACTCGAACTAATGCACAACTCATGCGATCTGTACGTACTGTAGGAGCGTTATGCTATGAGTTCCCTCATCGGGACCTAGGGGTACACCGCCTGGCCCCGGCGCGTCGCGCATCCGACGATTCAATGCGCCGAGGCCTGGTGATGCTTCTTCTAACCGGTGTGAATTGGTCCTGTCGTGTGCTGTTTGTGGGGTAGGTTAGCTAGTTGAGGCGCTTCGGCGCGGTAGGCGGAGTGGTAATGGGGTGAGCTCTGCGGTGGGTATGTTTTGCTGTAGAGTGAGAATTAGCTAAGTAGCTGAATAAGATTGGCTCTGCACTTAATATTGAGGTGTGTGAACTGGTGATATGCATATGTGATGGCGGCATTTGTGACGTCTCGTGAGATCTGAAAAGCTCCGCATGTGACGTAAAGGATCTGAGAGTTTGAATTGGAAGAGGTGTAACTGGAGGTTTTCAACAAGCAGTTAACAGCGTTTGAGGTGCCTCGTGAGATGGAACGCGGTTCGAACTTGATGTCAAGGCTTCGAGGCCGCAGATTGATTGGGGTTGTAGTGGGAATGCTTTCCAGCTACTGAAAATGCTTCGCTGTCCATTTCGAGACGTGTTCGTTGAAGTTTTGCACGTGTAATGACGGCGTTGGAGGTACCCCGTGACGTTAAGCATGATCTCAACACGATGTTAACGACTTGGGGCCGTGAATCGGAAGGGTGACAATAGAGGGTTTGAACAGGTAGTTGACAGCGTTTGAGGTGCCTCAACGGACCAACCCAAAGCTATTTTGATTTAAAAAGAAGCAGAATTTTGACTAACTACGCACTCTCTAGTCTTTTCAAGATCACTCCGTCATAGATCATTTTCTCTCTAAAGCAATTGAAAAGCTTCGCATATCGTCATCACGTGATGTCTTCGATCTTAGCAGAACGCGGCTCTAGCTTCCAACCGTCAAGCTTCATTCTAACGTCCCCAAAGTCTGGCCTAACTCCACAATACTAATGGACGACGCTCCGGCAGCGCGCTTTGCTCGGCTTCACCTGAGAATTATGACCGCGATGCCGTCCCGCAGTCCTCGGCGTTCTCTCCGCGTGCCTTTCATTCAACACTACCCATTTAATGCATCGTAGGCAAAGCCTATACGGTTATGGAAAAGTCCAGATACTATCACAATGCCGAAACCAGCAGTCCTCCACATCGGAGAGCCCATCAAATATAACCACGAGTTCTACGAGAATGAATTCCTCTCAAGATTCAATGTGGTGCAAGACGAGGAGCCAGACCGAGCTTCCTTCATGGAAGCATTGAAGTCTAAGAAGTATGTTGCACAATTCAAAAGCAACCCTACAACTAAACGAAGGCTAACGTCATTTAGATATGGAGACTTCTCAGCCATCTACCGACCACATTTCCAGACCGGGGGAGAGATAGGACAATGGGACGACGAACTCATCCCAATTTTCCCAGCGTCTGTACGAATATTTGCAAGTGCCGGAGCTAGATTCAACTGGGCTAATGTAGATGCCCTAGCTGGCCTAGCTACCCGGAAGATCTGGTATTCCAATGGCGCTGGAGCCTCAGATGAGGCCGTGTCGGATACCGCACTCTATGTGATTCTATCGGAACTTTGCTCGATCGCAACTCGCTACTCGCACAGCCGACCCAGAGATATTCACTGCAACACATACGCTTATCGCTACGATCTCGCGAAATCCCCGGGGGACACATACTGGGGATAATTGGGCTGGGGAACATCAGCAAGAAGCTGGCATACAAGGCGAAGACAGCTTTAGGGATGGACATACATTATTACGATGCTGTGCGGGCAAGTGAAGAGGAGGAGAAGACTCTTGGAGCAACGTTCCATGCGTCTTTGGATGACTTGCTGAAGATTGCCGACTGCATATCGCTTCACCGTCCGTTAAACAAGCATACACAAAATCTCATCGACGCGAAGGCGATAGCATTGATGAAACCGGGTTCCCGGATAGTCAATACCGCTCGAGGACTTGTCGTCAACGAAAATGCGCTAGTGGCAGCTTTGGTATGCGGTCACATAAGCGCTGTAGCGCTCGATGTTCATTACCACGAGCCTCAAGTATCGAAGAAGCTGGCTGCGATGGAGCAATGTACTTTGACTACACATATTGCAGGCGGGGCGTTGGATACGCGAATCAACTTTGAAGTAGCGGCTATGAAAAACATCATTGCTGTTCTCGGCCCGGATGACGAATGTATAGGGACGCCTTTAACGCCAGTAAACGCGAAGGCGTACAATGCGGCAGCGTAAATATAACACAATTGATATCTTTTCCCGAACATCCGAGTTTCCTAGCAAGTCATGGCATCGTCATATAAAACCCTAGTGTACGGACTCATACCCGTAGCCTGGAAACATCATTAGAAGGCCCGTTCCAATCAAATTCATTTCTATTGTTTCGTCTTATACCCCACCGTCGAGGCTTTAGTATCAAGGTGGTCCAAGGAGGCTACGCTAGGCATGTTCCTAGTTTTATACATCCCCACTCCCCGCATTCATTCCCCACGCACTTCTCGCCGACCTGGGGAATCGTGCCCAAGTGAGCGGTTAGCATGATCCAAGTCTACGCATGGATTCGCGCTACCGGGTCCTTGGTATCCTGGTTGCTTAAAGCCTCGTCTGTCGGTGTTACAACATCAAACGTTCCGGAACTTCGTTGTCTTTCAAAAGAGGATTTTCATCGCAAATATGGAAGACGTCATCACAGCAAAGGCGGACGTTGAGACCGTCGAGAAGGTCATCAACTCGGCAGAGCACCTACCTCTTCCAGATGAACTCAAGAAATTGGAAAAGAGTTTGACTCGAAAACTGGACATGACCTTGATGCCGGTCGTTGCGTTGCTTTTCCCTCTCAATATCCTCGATCGTAACAACATCGCAAATGCGAAAATATCTGGTTTTACCACTACATTAGGCATCAGTAATGATCAGTACAACACCTGTCTAATGATATTTTACGTCGGATGTAAGTCATTCGCACCATATTCAACTATATATATTAGAAGAATACTGACGAGGTTTAGATGTCATCACCCAAATACCCTCGAACATGCTCACCACCAAAATTTCTCGCCCATCCGCTTACATCTGTTGCATTACATCTGCATGGGGTGTAGTATCCATGTGTCAGGCCTTCACAAAGTCATACGGCGGCCTCTTTGCAGCCCGTTTCATCCTCGGTCTAGTCACCTGTCTTATTAGTCAACGGTTGACATTTATCTAGCACCATTTCTACCTGGTGTTTTCTCTACCTGGTGTTTTCTACCTCATAAGCTGTTGGTACAAACGCTCCGAGCTGCCTCCTAGAATAGCCATCTTGTACGGGTCCAACATATTAGCAACTGCATTCAGCGGGTACGTCATCCAAACCAAAGAACCAATCGATAATCATGTGCTTATCAATCCGGATAGTCTCATTGCAGCTGGCATCATCTCCCAAATGGAGAACAAAGCAGGTCGACCAGCATGGGTAAGTCGGACTTTAATGTCTTTGGACGCATGCGAATAGTGATCAGGAATGGCTTTTCATCATTAAGGGATCAATGACCATTGCTATTGCCCTTCTTGTCATGCCTGTCCTTCTAGATTATCCAGGCCAGCACATTCGCTCATGGACGGGCATGGACAAAGAACACCACATCTACGCTGAATGGCGCATTCGCAAGGAGAACGCCGGTATCAAAGACGAAGACACCGAGTCCATCTGGTGGGGCCTAGGCCAAGCACTCAAAGACCCCAAACTTTACATGTTCGTGGTTCTGCAAATGGCACTCATCACGGCTCAGAGCTTCAACAACTTCTTCCCTTCCATTGTCGGGACTTTAGGCTACAATAGGACTATTACGCTCCTTCTTACCGCGCCACCATATATCTTTGCATTCATCATTTGGCTCTGCGTGTCGTTCCACGCGGCACATAACGGCGAGCGAGGTTACCACATTGCCATTCCCATGATATTCGGCCTTCTCGGAAATCTCTTGGTAAGTTTTTCCATCCGTCTAACTTGTTACCATTAGAACAAGACGCTAATATGTACAAGGCTATGATCGTCCCCACACTCGGTGGCCGATACTTCTCCATGTTCCTCATGACTTCCGGCACCTACGCCCCATACAATCTCTGCGTGTCTTGGTTATCATCGTCTCTCCCACGCCTAGCGTCCAAGCGTGCCGCTGTCTTTGCCATCGTTAACTTGATGGCAGCTGGTGTTGCTCATTTCTACACACCGTACGCGTTCCCGGATACGCAGAAGCCGCGTTACTACGGCGGCGGCGCCATGATGAGCGCCGCGTGCCTCATCTGTGTCATGATGGCTTTGGGCATCAACTGGCATCTGATGCGGGAGAACAAGAGGTTCGAGATGGTGAAGGCTGGAGGAGAGGTTGCGAAGACCATCAAGGGCAGCAAGGCTGGTCATGGTGGTGAGGCGACTGTATCTTTCAGGTACGTCCATTAAAACGGGTGTCACGCGGCGAGATACGAGAGAATTGAAAGTCGAGCATGTCCCGTGAATGTTAAATGAGATACGTAAAAGCCGAAATACCTTATAGAATGTGCATACAAATCTTCGCGAAAATCAAATCTAATCAACCTTCAATTTCTATCTCAAACTCTCAATGCTTCGACTTTCTGGATTATATTACTATACCTACCCTCAATTAGGGCTCGTTAATGATCACTAAGTTGCCTCCACTCTTCATCACTCGATCTATATGACTCAATTCCCACGGCGGCACTCTACGTCATGTCTAGAAATCTGGAAATCTATTGGGACACCCCAAGAAATTGTAGATGAATGTGCACAGACTTTTGGTTCGGTACTGTAAGGGACAATATCTTCGATGTACTCCTCACGTGCCTTACTGCTTAGACTGTTCTTTTTCTCAATATCACTACCTCCTCGTTAATCACAGCCCTGCTCGGCCTATCAAAGCGCCGAAAAGCCGTAGATTCAGGACCCATGCGCTAGGAGATACACCGGCGAGAAACCCGAGCCATAGCCGGAGGACCGCTTGGTGGGGTGTAAACCCTGTAGACCAAAGATCTGGAACTTGATGCTGGCTAATAAGTTCGGTCTTTGCAGATGTTGACATCTCTTCAATCATTGCTTTCCTCTCATTCATAATTCAATTTCATTCCTATTAGTTGTTTAGACGCATTCATCACAATGGGGGAAGTTAGAGAACTGTCGCTAGCCGATGTCAGTAGCCATAATACCGAGACGGACTGTTGGATAGCTGTGAGCTCGAAAGTGTGGAATATTACGAAGTTCCTTGATCTTCATCCAGGTGGTAAAGCTGGTAGGTACCGTACCTTCTTCCTCCAAATCCAAACCCTTTTCAACATCTCTTAGAGCATGATGGGATGATGGGTTAAAATTATTATACAGTAATCCTCAAATACGCCGGCGCCGACGCAACCACCGCCTACGAAGAGATACATGTGCCAGGCATGTTAGAAGAGAACCTCTCCTCCGACAAATTTATCGGCAACCTCACCCCCAGCGCTCCCAGCGCTGACGTCGCACCCCCCTCGGCCGTTCAAGAAGCTACAAAAGCACAAGAAGCGCCACCGACAGCGCCTCAAACTCAAGTCACCGTCACCGTCCGGCAACCAACCGAACTCCCAGCGCTCTACTCCCTCATCGCTGCCCACGACTTCGAAGAAGTTGCACAACGCCACTTCACCCCGAAAGCGTGGGCATTTTACTCCTCCGCTGCCACGGACTTGGTTACGCATCATGCGAACAAGTCAGTGCTGCGGCGGGTGATGATCAGGCCCCGTATTCTACGGGACGTGAAGGAGGTCTCGATCAAGCGGAAGATTTTGGGCCAGGACAGCGCCGCTCCGTTCTTCATCTCACCAGCTGCGATGGCGCGACTTGCGCATAAAGATGGCGAGCTGGCTTTAGCGAGAGGTGCCGCTGCGGAGGGGATTGTGCAGTGTATATCAAGTAATGCGTCGTATCCGCTTGGTAGCATTGTGAATGCAGGTGTGGATGGGCAGACGTTCTTCTTGCAGCTTTATGTCAATTGGGATAGGCCTAAGACCGCTGAGTTATTAAAGAAGGCAGCGTCGTTAGGAATCAAGGGGGTGTTTGTGACTGTTGATGCGCCAGTACCGGGAAAGAGGGAGGCAGACGAGAGGGTGGCGGCTGAGGCTGTGGCTAGTGCAATCAGTGGAGCGGTTGCGAGTAATGATAGGAAGGGTGGTGGTATGGGGAGGCTGATGGCGGGGTATGTGGAGAAGAGTTTGATATGGAAGGATATTCAGTGGATAAAGGAGGTATCTGGATTGCCTGTTGTGCTTAAAGGGGTGCAGAGCGCGGCAGATACGATGCTGGCAGTTGAGTATGGGGCCGCGGGTGTGATGTTAAGCAACCATGGCGGAAGGTCTTTGGACGGGTGAGTTTAATGTCTTCGAAAGGAAGCATGGAGATGCTGACGATTTGCAAAGCGCACAACCTACCATACTGGTCCTCCTCGAGCTGCACCGAGTGTGCCCGGAAGTCTTCAATCAGCTCGAAATCTACGTTGATGGAGGATTCGAAAGAGGCTCAGACATCTTGAAAGCACTTGCTCTGGGAGTAATGGCAGTAGGGCTCGGGCGGCCGTATCTCTACTCACTGGCATTTGGTTCTGATGGAGTGGAGCACCTTACGCAGAGTAAAGTCTGCCACTCAAAATGGGCTAATTATCATGCTAACACCTTCAACAGTACTGAAAGATGAATTGGAAACTTCGATGCGACTTTGTGGAATAACAGACATTGATCAGCTTCACCCCGGACTACTTAACACGCAGGATATCGACCATTTGGTCACTAACGAGGTCGATCGGCACCCTTGGGTGAAATGGAAGCCGAAGGCAAAGATATGAAGGAAATAGATAGAACGATACCATAGATGATGGTGTAGAGTAATCCTTGGCTACAAATGAAGATTGAAGGAGTAATTGGTGTTGAGGAAAGACAACGATTTCGGAAAGGGGCTCATTTCAGAAAGGAGTAGCGTTTTGACCACACGTTCCCAACCCATTTTCTCATCCATCCATACTTGGAATATCAAGCATGCTCAAGAAAGACTAGGGCATATGTACGAAGAAATTCACGACACACCCATAGGCTCCTCACGTGAATTTCACGTGGCGTCGATCGGAGTGGACCAGTGCAAGAGTTTGTGGCCCGTTTATGAGTACTACTCATGGTCTATTCGGAGGGCCCTGTAAGTTTAAGTGGTAGTTAGCACAATCATAGGTTGCCTTCATGCTAACTGCATTCCTCTCTCACCTGAACCCCTCGATAGAACAGTCTCTTGAACTCGGACCATCTACTCCACAAACACCACTACATGATGTCCCAACAAGCTCCACCTTCACCTCCACAAACCCCACAGCACGGTGTAGAGGCCGAGTCAACAAGCGCCGCAGTTCTCCCCGACAACCCCTCCTTCACATTCTCCTCCGCCTCACATCCACGAGGCGTATTTCTTCCCTTTGGACACGCGAACGCGGACTTCGGCCGTCAAGGTAAGCAGCGTGAGTGGAAAATGCCGTGCGGAGGGGTAGGCGTTGGTATATACGCCGTGAAGACCGCAGGGTGAGGGGCGTATTTCAATTTCACGCGACGCGACTTCACTGAACCACATTTCCTCATCTCTCATCACTACTTCCTACAAAAGACGTGCATTCTGTGTTTTTCAATCCATTCAATTCAATCAAACCCTCCAAATCTTCACACATCAACCTCCAACCACCAAAATGCAAAAATCAACCGTCCCCAACAAATCCCACCCCCACCCCCTCCCCCCAGGCGTCTACACCCCCGTCCTCTCGCTCTACAAAGCAACCCCCACCCAAGAAATCGACCATGAAGCCATGTACAAGCACGCACAGCACCTGGTCCTCGGCGGCATGCACGGACTAGTCTACCAAGGCACAAACGGCGAAACCGCGCTCCTCTCCCGCGAAGAGAAAATCGCAGTGCTCAAGGACATCCGCAACGCCGTCGCCGACCTCGGCGTGCCCGACTACCCTATCGTCGCCGGTGTGAGCGGACAGAGCAAGAACGAAAGCATCTAGCTCACGAAAGACGCCGCGGAGGCGGGGGCGAGCTTCGGGTTGCTACTACCATCTAGCTTCTGGCCAAAAGCCGTCACGGAAGACGTACTACGGGGGTTCTACCGTGATGTTGCGGACGAAGCCCCATACCCATCGTGTGCTATAATGTGCGTACTTGGAAACCCCTATCCCCGACGTATACCTCGATCCCTTACCCTACCCCCTTTCCATGCATCCGTACGAGTACTTATACATACTCCAGTTCCCCGGCGCAACCTCCGGCGTCGACCTCAATTCCGACGACCTCGCCGCTCTCGCTACTCACCCCAACATCATCGGCACCAAGCTCACCTGCGGCAATGTCGGCAAAGCCATCCGCCTAACCTCACAGTTCACGGCCGCCCAATTTGCCGTCTTCGGCGGGTCCTCCGACTTCCTGTACCCCACCCTCGCAGCCGGCGGCGTGGGTTGCGTAACGGGGATGGGCAACGTATGGCCGAAATCCACTGCCCGCGTGTACGACCTGTACGTGGCGGGCGAGCTCGAGGAAGCGAAGCGGTTGCAGGAGATCGTAGCGAGCGCAGAGTGGGCGTGCAAGAAGAGTCTCGCACTGACGAAGTCGGGGCGGGGCATTTTGTGGGGAAGAAGATCGGGCTTGAGGACGAGCGGACGTGGTATCCGCGGAAGCCGTATGTGCCAGCAGGGGAAAAGATGCAGGCCTGGACCGTGGAGGTGATGGGGGTGTTGGAGGCGGAGGAGGCGAAGATTCCGGATAGGGCGTTTAAGGGGAAGGGGGCGAATGGGATTAATGGGAGTAAGTAGAGTAGGAGCTGGATAGATAGCATTTCTGGCGTTTTTGGGAATAGATATACATAATGAGCTAGAATCTTAAAAGGCATTTGTATGAGATTGTGGTATTTACAGGACGTTTGGTGGCTTAGCACCCCCCACCTCCTCCACCGCCATCGCCTCCCCCTCCCCCTCCTCCTCCTCCTCCTCCTCCGCCGCCATCCCCGCCAATCCCACCCCCATCTCCGGCGGACATATTCTGCAGCTGTCCTCCAAGCTCAATACCTTGTTTGATATGATGCAACGAGGCGTTCAACTCCGCATTAGCACTACTGCCATTTTTGAGATCCTTCGCTCTTATATACGCAATCATCCCCAGCGGTTGCTCCCTCGCTAGCGTCTCTGCATGCGCCACCTCAATCGGATTCTTCGCCTTCTCTTCTCGCAGCAAATGCCGCTCCCAATCCCGCAAGACCTGAAGCGTCGCAACCGCCATGCCAATATCCAGACCCTGCATACGTACGTTGAGCGCCTCATCAGGACACGCGCCCTTGATCCGCCACGCGCAGGTCGGTTTCACGGACTGACCGGTCTGTCGACAAGGGTTGCAGACGTCGTGGTCGGGACACGTTTTGCATTTCCAGCGGATGCCAACCATGGGTTTCATCTTACACCCGTCGCACGACGCCGTTTTGTGGATCTCCTGCTCGTCCACGAAGCCGTCCCAGAAGGTATGATCGGCGACGATGGCGTTGTTGTAAAAGAGGGCGTGGCGGACGGTGTCCCATCTTGCACCATTCAAGCTGCTCACGCGGGCCGAAGAGCGCCATTCGTAGCTTTTGCCATCCAGACTCTTGAAAGTGAGCGAGGCGTATTCTCCAGTGGCTCTGAATTTCGGGTGGATCTGGATGCCGTGGGGGTTCGTGAGCGTTTCGCTGAGGACGGCGTCGGTCTTGCGGTTGCGGGTGAGGGTGTAGTTCCATAGGTTCTTTGCGTTGGAAGAGGGCGATGACATGGTCCAGGAGTACTTCTTGTCACGAATGTGGCCACCCTTTTGTTCAGCCTTGATGTAGAAAAGGGGCGCGTGTTTGGGTGATTTATATTGGACTACCGGGCGGAGGGAGGACCACTCTTGCGCCGCGAGCGGGTCGGCCCAGTCGCTGTCGGCGTTGGGGTGGAAAGTGCCATACAGCGAGGACGTTACAGGGGGAAGATGCCAGGTTTGCGGGATTGGGGCTGTGGTTTAAGTGTCAGTAGATACCCAAAGATACGGGAGAAATGTGGGACTCACGTTGGCGATGTTCTTCAAGATAATTGACAAGCTCTTTGGGGTCAACGAAGGAGAGGTTCTGAGGCGTCGTAGGCCTTGAATGGTGCCCTGATGCTGGTACTGATTGTTGCGGCGCAAGTTGGCCCTGTGACTGTGTTGGATAATACTGAGGCTGCGCGGGTGGTACCTGGGCATATGGCTGTTGCATATACGGGTGCGGTGCTTGTTGACCAGGCATTGGCGAGCCGGCTGGATACTGGGCCGGGGGATAACTTTGCGGTGGATAACCTTGCTGTGACTGTTGATATCCTTGGCCTGGTGTATAGCTATTTGGTCCCCATGGTTGCTGTAGTTGATAATGGGAACCTGCATAGCCCTGCTGCTGAGCTGGCGGGTATTGGTAATGAGAAGTCATGGTTACTCGCTATTGACTGCATGCATATGATAAAAGGATGTATAGAAGTCTAGAAATAATTGAATTTCGGAAATGTATAAGAGAGAGGAGTGACAGTCAGACTTATAAGTATTACATAGCTCAGTTATCAAGGCCACCTGCCTCATAGCCTTGCTCACTGCAGCGCAAGGATACCTACGTAACCCGGCATCCTATTCTCCAGATCTGCACACATTCCTGGGGTCATTCGTTGATCAATTTCCGTGCCTGCTCGAGTGTTTCAACAGCTGCGGACCGGTCTCTCTCTAAAGTAGAGCCGGCGTGCTGGAAATAGTATAAGTTTGTGAACTGCAGGATCGATTCGGGGGCCGATCCATCGGGATCCTAGATTGAGAAGAGATCACCCGTACTCGATCAGCGCATGGCTGTCGATCCTAGGCTGTGGGGATCGCGGCGTAGTTGGCGAGGCTGACGGACTGCGGTTGGTGCTGTGTGATGTCACTGTCGCCGCGGTGCGGCCGAAGCCTCAGAGACAGCAATTCTTGAACTTGTCGAGCATGAGTCTAAAATGAGCTATGATGCTATCTTGGCACTGAAACGGGCCATAATGAGGAGGAAAAATTCAAGTCAGAAGACGAAGTCCCAAAAGTAAGCTTTTTGCAAGCATCAAGAAGGAAGCTACTTTTGGTGATACCAGCAGGGAATGATTAAGCACCACGCTACCTTTGTATGTATTGAGCACTGATTCGTGATTTATGATCTTGATCTCATTGGCGACGGGGCGGTTAAATATTATGCTATTGTGGTTCGCTAAACTCTGACATGTCACGTGGCTGTTGAATATATCTCGTCTCCTGTTGCGACTCCGATCACGTTCATTTCAATTAGAATGACTGTGGGAGCATCTCAGCCCCTTTATCATCAAACCCACTAGGTGATGACTACTAACTCCTTATCCCGCTCCCTCACACCTTCAGTAAACAAACACCACGATAAGCACTTGCTCAGCTTTTGATGACCTGTTAAGTCAGTCGCATATCTGATGCTCATCATCACTACTCCCTGGTACTCCCTGCCCACCAACAAATTCTCCGCTATCAGGGTCCCAGACCGCTTTAGTTAATCCTTCCACCACCAGCACATGGAAATGTTCCGGAATGAGAGTTGACAAAGCACAATCATGGATATGAGTGGCTTCATGGGTTCGAAGACTTGATTCCTTCTCTCCTTGCTAATGAAGAAATAGGACTGCACGACGGCGAGACAGGCATTTATATCTGAAAGATCTGGAACTAGGGGAAAAATCCACGTGACTTTACCGATGAGCTCAGGATTTGGGCTGGTTTGCTGGCGACACTCCTAATTACACAAAATTCATAGAAAATAGCACTTGACCGCTTTGGCCATTGACGTATCGTCAGCTTCCCGGACGGCAGGACATCAAAACACGTCCTAGCGTTCGGATTCGGTAGGTCCGTCACGACGCGCTCCGCCCAGTTCATGCCATCCGCAGAAGTAGAGCGGCAGACGTTATCAGGCCAGCGGGAGCGGAAGAACGCGATGTAACTCCCATCTGCTAAGGGTTTGATGTTCATATGCACGCAGCCGACCGAGTTGGGCACGTACGTCTCGCCCCACGTCTTGCCCGCGTCCTTGCTCCAGCGCACGACGGAGACATCGTCGTTGCCGTTCCAGCGGAAGCCGGGCGGCGTGCGGCAGTACCACACGGGGAGCACCCAGGTGCCGTCCTGCAGCACAGTGACGGGCTGGCGGACGAAGACGCCCTCGGGGAAGAGCTGGGCCGGCGCGCTCCAGGTCGCGCTGTGGTCTGAGGAGGTGCGGTAGCGGATGATGGCTTTGTCCTGGTTGCCGGCGACTTGTGCGGTGTAGAAGACCCAGAAGGCCGACGTGACCGGGTTGAGGAAGAGCACGGGGTTCTGCTCGCTCAGGTTGGGGTCGTCGAAGAGCCCCACTAGAGAGTAGATAGCGATGCCGGGACGCATAATGAAATCTGACATATAACTATCCATGATTTTGACGACCCCGAGATGTGTCCGTACATAGAAGGGCCGTGTTTTGGAGTTCGTGAGAATGGTCCGGCGTTCTCGCTGAGTAGAAGAGCGTTTCTTGGAAAGGGATGCATAAATATCAGAAAACCTAAATGGGTTCCTATTACCATAAACACATTATCATCCTAAATCCAAAAGTCAAAACTCTTCACTATGATTGCCACAATGAGCTGAATACTGGAGCCGAAATACCCGTGGTGGTGAGCATTGAACTCAATCGTTGGAATATCAGCATTTGATAATCCGGCTAGGGATTCGGGACCTGGCAAGCCGCTCCTGGAGGTTAGCAATTCATGATCTATCAAGACACCTTCAAACTAATACCGACGTAGAGGCCGGACGAGCTGTGAAGATCGCCATGAAATCTGGCTATAAACACCTGGTGCGTTCTGTGCCCCCGGGCCTGATGCCTTCCAGGGCCATTAGTTTCGTTAGTTAATCATGATATAGGACTGCGCTCCACTGTGTAAGTAGCATTTAGTCCAAAGGATCGGCCAAAGGCGTTAATCCTCTGACCCATCCAGACTGGAACGAGAAAGAGATCGGAGAATCCCTAGCAGAGACGCTCAAAGAGACATCAATATCGCGCTCCGACCTCTTCATAACCACCAAAGTTGTGGTCCTCGCAACACTCCCAAGTCGAAGCTTCCCTCCGCCGCTCCCTAGCAGACCTACAACTCGATTATGTCGACCTGTATCTCATGCACTGGCCCATCTCACTCCCGCCCAACGAAGCTACGGCCGCGAACTTCCGCAAAGAAGACCGCACTACTCATGCCCTTGACTGGGACTTCACTAACACCTGGACTGATATGGAGAAGCTGCTCGGTACTGGTCTGACTAAGGCAATCGGTGTCGCGAACTTCTCAACCGTGAATCTTGAGAAACTCCTGAAGACAGCTAAGGTGGTTCCAGCCGTCAATCAGACAGAGCTGCATCCGCTACTACCCCAGGACAAGCTCAACGCGTATTGTAGGAGCCACAGAATCCACTAAACAGCCATCCGGTTGTACTAGAGATCGCAGAGAAGAGGAAGCGCAGCGCAGCGCAGGTGATGCTCTCGTGGGGCGTGGCACGGGGGTGGAGTGTTATCCCGAAGCGTGCGACGGAGGACCGGATAAAGAGCAATCTAGCAGTTTTCGAGTTGAGCGCGGAGGAGGTTGCGAAGCTGGACCAGCTGGCAAAGACGCAGGGAAGGAGGTTCAACAGGCCGAATTGGGGGACCACGGTGTTTCATGATGATGATGAGAGTGTTGTGTAAAGAGATGGAAAGAGGGCACTGGGGAATTGTATCGCCAAAAGTTACGCGTTGCGGTCGGTTAAAGTTGCTCTTTGTCGCGAGAATACATCTACCCGTGAACGACTTCTAACGCTTCTTCTAAGCACATTTCTAAAGCACGACTAGGCTTTCCATTCTAACTGATCCTAAACATCAATGCCTCCCTCTGAAGATGTGAAATAAAACTGAGTTTCTTAGAATTAGTTAGACCTTCACGTCATTCCCGTGTGTTGCCCATCAGACACCATCCATACAAGTACCATGGACCTATGCGGGACCAAGAGACTCAACTTACCGCCTACATCATCGTCCTCGCATATACAAACTACTCCGACTGCGCCCACAAATCTTATCTGGGGATGAACCTTGAGCCAGACAATCGACTGTTCTTACATCCAAACCTCATTATGACGTCGACGATCCCGCCGCTCCGGTGGGAGAAGACGAGGAGAGAATTACGCGTAGAATATTTGGAATAGAAGGGTAGAGTGTAGGTACAAGAAGAGTCTGAGAGGCGTTTGAGACTTGTACTCTTTGCCAAGTTGCTCTCTATCTCATATCATTTTCCTTCTCCCCCTTTCATCACCAAATAACCAAAACGCCCAACATGTCCAACTCCAAGATCCCAAAGGTGGGAAACCGCACCACCCTCGCCCCATCTATCTCTTCTTTTCTCAAACATAATCCCTCCCTTCACCTCGGAGGCGCAAACGCGTTCACAGATGAGCGACGCCACCATACCGAAGTTTTCGGCATTCATTCTCTGCCAAAGGAGAAAGTCCACCCAATCCATGAAGTAGAGTTTACCGCCATTCGTGGGCCGCATGGTACCATTCCCGTACGGGTGTTGTATCCGAAGTCTGGAGAGGAGAAGAGGAAGAAAGGAGAGGCCGCTGCGCTTGTGTATTTCCATGGAGGCGGATATACGGTAGGAAGCGTGGACGAGTTCGAAAATGGATTGAGACAGTTGGCAGAAGAAAGCGCAGTCCAAGTATGATCTCTTGCCTCCAACACCTTATACAGCATCACTCGTTTCATTTTCACAAGAACCCTAAATTCAGAACTAACGATCCCTAGATCTACGCTGTTGACTACCGTCTTGCCCCCGAGTTCGCCCACCCAGTCCAGCTCGACGAATACGACGCCATAATCTCCTGGCTTGACTCCTCAGGCGGAAAGTCCCGAGGCATCTCCCCCTCCCTCATCTGCGGTGGGGGAGACTCAGCCGGCGGCAACATGACCGCAGCTCTCTGTCTCCGCCGTCAAGACCACAAGCTCCCCCCCTTGGCGGCCCAGATTCTCCTCTACCCCGAAGCCCGCCTGCCTTTCGACACGCCCGCTGCATCAGAGAACAACTCAGGCCTGTACCTCGAATGTAACGGGATCTTCTCCTTCGCGGACCACTATCTCCCGCGCGGGATTCCACCGGCACATCGGTATATCTCGCCCGGGATGCAGGAGATCAAGGATTTGAAGGGGCAGCCGAAGTCAGTAGTGTGTACCGCGGGGTTTGATCCGTTAAGGGACGTGGGGGTGGAGTATGCGAGGAAGTTGGAGGAGGCCGGTAATGTGGTTATTTGGAGGCATTTCGACCGGTTGACGCATGGGTGGTTGCAGATGGGGGCTTGGAGTGACGAGGCAGAGAATGCTATCAAGGAATTGGCGGGTGAGGTTAAGAAGGTGGTTTATGGTTAAAGCGATATCTGGCATAATCCCCGGTTAAAAGTGCATATAAGATTCTTGCCATTGTATAAAAACTTTGAAACAATTCGCCAAAAGATGACAGAATGCCCTCTATCTACGTGTCATGGTTGACCCATTCACGAGGTAGTAAAGCAAGGAGCAACGTCTTATAGGTTCATAGATCTTACAAAGCATTGAGGGTAATCTCTGTAAGATCCGGAACCAATATTATAGAAATTTCTTTGGAAAAAGTGGAGAAACGTGATATTTCATAGGAATAGCCAATCACAGGCCATGCGATTCTCTTACTGCTTCGCTCAACCATGTTCCTCCCATATTCTACCCTTGTATTGCGACCTTAATCATCGACATGCTTTACATGTATTTTCGCCATTTAGCTACATTTTCAAGACACAAAATCTTGCCATGTAACCTCTATACCACATACAAATCCTGCTCTCAGACTTGATCGGATGAACCGATGTTGGATATGACTGTTGCACTATCTGTCACCAGCCGTCTCTACCGGCCGTCCACTCCTGACTCGTATCCATGTCCCCGCTCGTTCATCAAAGCACCAAACTCCTCCAAGGCGGCCCCACCTTATCATAACCGCGCGCGCCCAGTCCCTACGGATTCATGAGTCGGCCCGATATTCTTGATCACGACCACCTCCAAACGCGGTTCTTGCCCCAGACTCACTGCCCGCATCTTCGCGACACCAATGTCTCTGCGCAGCTCTACCTCCGTCATGGCAAAACGATCATGGTTCCAGGCGAATGCCAAAACCATCCCAACTTCTGCGCATGTGGAGACGAGTCCTCAAGAACATATGTCACCAGCTGCGTCCCGCCGACGGACATTAGAGGCCGCTGAGACCCACCTAACATCTCAACCTTCGATTTCTCGCAAGGTGAAGGCGTGCGCGGCTTGTCGAAAACAGAAGGTTGAGACTGCCCCTGTCTAGTTGACTTTCTTGTATTGACTCGCGCATGACAGATCAAATGCATCATGGACGAGAGCGGACCACCGTGTAAAAGGTGCACTGAACGAAATCTGTCCTGTGTTTTGAACAAGAGTCTTCAGACTCTCATTGATGAGCGATTCCAGTAAGTGTTATCAAGATATAAAAGCTTGCTGCCATTAACGGAGCATATTCCAACATTATGCTCCTACCAAGACGTTCACGTGCCCGTAATGCCTCCTTTCTATCCCTTCGTAGATCGATCGAGGCCCGTCTTACCGCTGTAGGCTTCACTATATGTCACACGATACTGATTGAGTTGATAGGTGGAAAACGGTTGTAGGGACCGACTTGGAGCAGATCCACTCAGCCCTCCAAGAAGTTCTCAACCGGTTGTCGCTCCCGCCCATTCCTCGATTACAAACACTTAATCAGGACAATCACGCGCTCTCACCTCCTGACGAGGTCCTTGACCGTGAAGACCATGGACCTTCTTGCGACAATTCTCCAAGAGTCTCGCCGCGAGATGATGCCCTACCGCACGTACCCATTGAATCGCTGTACCAGATTACCAGACTCCGCGCACTTCGCTCAGACAACCCGACTGAGACTCCTGAACTTCCGCAATCCAATGGTGTCAGCCACGTGATCAATGACTTCATTTCCAATGGTCAGCTAGGCGTAGAGGACGCCGAGCGTCTATTTCATCTCTATCAGAACCGTCTCGACCATTTTATGTACGGAATCGGGGGCAAATACAGGGACCTCGAGAGCCTCCGGAGAGGTTCTGCAATCTTAACAGCTTGTATCTGCACAGTCGCGGCTCTCCATGATCCAGGAAGTAACCACCTCTACGGAACCTGCAATCGTGAATTCCAACGTCTCATAGCCGCCTCAATGTTTGACCGACGAATAGATCGCGATCAACTCAGAGCAATGTGCATCGGATCATACTGGCTGAGCGACATTTCCTGGACTCTTTCTGGTTACGCAATACGACGAGCTACGGAAGTCAGCCTAAACGCAAACTACCACCGGGTCGTAGCAGAAGACAGCGAGGAAGCAGCTGACTGCCTCCGGATATGGTATATTCTCTACATATGCGACCATCACTTATCGATACTCTACGGGAGATCATCCATCGTACGCGAAGATTTCGCCATTGAGGGGTGGGACGCCTTCCTGAAATCATCAGTGGCGAACGAGAGCGACAAACGCATGATCAGTCAGCTAGCGCTCTTAATTATCCTAAGCAATGTGCGGGAATTGTTTGGCCCAGACACTGGCGAGCCCGTTCCATGTGCCTTTGCCACGCAGCTTGCCAATTTTAGTCGTCAGATCGACCAGTGGATGGGGACTTGGTCCACTAATCTTCAACGTAAGTTCCTTTGGCTTGAATTTGAATTCGCTACTAAAAATCAGCAGGACAACATGACTACATCGGAGAGTTTCCCACCAAAGGGGTCGTGCTACATCATCATTTTGCGAAGCTGCATCTGCACTCTCACATTTTCAGAGGATTGAAGAACTCTCCAGTACCCAGCTATTTCCACGATTCCGCTGTTGCCGCAGTTTCTGCCGCGACTTCTATCGTCGAATTGCTTCTCACGGACCGTGACCTCCAAGACTCCCTAGTGGGAATTCCCCACTATTTACATACCATGACCGCTTTCGCCTGCGTTTTCCTTCTCAAAGTTGCGGCCCAACATAGTGGACAATATATCGAAGATGCAATAGTCTTCGACCTCACCGCCAAGCTGGTCCAGCAGTTTCGATCCACGGCAGTAGGAAAATGGCATTTGGTTCATCTCATGGCAGATGGCCTCGAAAATCTGGCTGCCAAAGAGCACCAGAAGAGTCCAGCAGCTTATCCGAATATGCTTCTAGCGAATGGCAACAGCCATACCACTATGCCATACATGAATGGTGCTGGTCATCCTTCAATGAATGGTACGCAGCATGGAGAGGACTCAATTTATGGTCCCATGGCTACCAACGGCTTCCAAGACGGAGAGATCGATTTTGCAGCAACGCCGTTCCTACACTTCGACTCCGCAGGCTTTGAATTCAACTATGCTGGATTCGGGATTCTATGATATATTCTATAATACAAACACAACCATCTATAAAAGCAATACCAATGTCTACGCCGCAAGACTCCGAGCAAAATTCTCTACTTCTTCCTTGAGCGTAATATCCTCCACCATACCCAGCTTCTTCTCAAGACTTGTATCAGATCGTGCAGGCCAACTCCTCACAATCGCCTCAACTTTTACGTCTCGCTTCTCTTCAATCAACGCCGTCTTCTCCTTTCCCCCACCGCCTCCAACGCCTCCAAAATCTGCCCCACCATCACCGTCTGACCCGGCAGATTCACCGTCCTTCCCCGATTCACCCCAAACGCCTCCTTCGGCACATCCTTCATCGCCACCAGATTCCGCACCACCGTGCTCGGCGAGCACACCCACACATCCAGATCCTTACCCACCGGCAAGACACTCCTCTCCCCCTTCAACGGCTCCCGCACGATCCCGGACGCAAACGACGACGACGACGCCGCCGCGGAGGGCGCCCCCGGCCGCACAATCACGGTCTGCAGCCGCACGACGCGCCCGTCTATCAGCCCCCGGTGCGAGTAGTCCGACACCAGCGTCTCGACGACCAGCTTCTCGGCCCCGTAGCTGCTTTGCGGCACGGGGATCGTCCGCTCGCTGAGCTGGTGCCCGCGCAGGTGGTCCAGCACGAGGCGGCGCGAATCGATGTTCACGGCTAAGCCGAGCTCGAGGTTTGCTTCGGCCGGTTGTGACGCGTGCGGCGTGATGGGGGGAGGGGATCGATGGCTAGATCACGTCGGCGAGGAGGAGGTCGCAGGCTGGGGAAGCGTCGAGGAGGGCGGCGGCGAGGGCTTGGCCGATGAAGCCGCCGGCGCCGGTTATGAGGATGGTGTGGGATTGGGTTCGAAGGAGCCCATTGTTGCGGTTGTGGTAGGCGCAACGTGGGTGAGAGAGTTGGGCTGGCATTTGTGTAGGTGCTCTGGTTTATTTGGAGATGTGTGAGACGGGAGCAAGTAGGAACTGTAGGTGATGTGGAATTGGATGTCGAAGTGGCTTGTTTTCTTCCCGAAACTAATCGATGTTTGGTATCTATTTAGACTGGCTAACCTTTACGCACGGGGTTGGATTCCGTCGTATCTGCCGTCGAGTATCCTTTTGGCCCATTTTTTTGCCCCGTAGGTGTGAAGACCGCGTTGCGGGGCGCGACGCGTTGGGGAGATGGCCGGTGGAGGGGTGACCAGTGGTTCAGGGAGAAGGCCGGTGTGTGGAGAAATGGCCGAGTAGACGGCCAATAGTGCTATGCACCCCGGACCGGGCAATTGCTGTGGATGTATGGAGTTTGGGTGGGGAAGGGATAATATCATGGGTGTATAGTGGGGAGGTAACGCGGGAATAGTTTTACATTCATGCTTTAGTCACTTTTACTAGAATTTCTGAAGGTTCTGCAAAAGTACGCTTTCGGGAAGTCTTATACCAAAATGTACAATAACATGGAGGACATGCGTCTTGGGAGCAGTGGATTGAAGGTTTCGAAGATCATTTTGGGGGGCATGAGCTTTGGGTCGAGTAAATGGGAAAGTTCGCCGTGGACCCTGGATGAGCCGGAGGCGTTGAAGGTGATCAAGAAGGCGTATGATTTGGGGATAAATACTTGGGTAAGTTGAGCAGAGTCCAATACAGATTTTATAGCTATTCAAGACGAGGCTATACTAAGGAATTGCGCATAGGATACAGCAGACACCTACTCCAACGGCGCCTCCGAGCGCATCATCGGCAAAGCACTGAAAGAGTTTAAGGTTCCAAAGAGTAAAGTAGTGATTCTGACGAAGACCTTCAATCCAGTTATGGGCGATGACTCGAGACCTGTGCCGAAGAATGACGGAGCGCTTGTAAATCAGATGGGGCTGAGTAGGAAAAATGTCTTTGAGGCGTTGGATAGGTGTTTGGAGAAATTGAGGACGGATTATATTGGTAAGAGACCCCAAGTTGCAAACAATACGTATATTCTCTCTTCCAATCAGCCCTTCTGCCCTCTTTGAGTTCACCCTTTCTACATTTCCCCAAAGAACTTGTTCAGTGAGTGTCAGCGACTAACACCCACCAGACGTCCTCCAAATCCACCGTCTCGACCGCGAAACTGCCCTCGCCGGAATTCATGCAAGCCCTCCACGACCTCATCCGCTCCAGAAAAGTCCACTACATTGGCGCCTCCTCTATGCACACCTGGAAATTTGCACAGCTCCAACACGTCGCGATCCTAAACCATTGGACCCCATTCATCAGCACGCAGCCCTTCTACAACTTGCTCTAACGCGAGGAAGAGCGCGAGATGCTGCCGTTCTGCCAGGCAACGGGGGTGGGCGTGATTCCGTGGCCACCGCTGGCCAGGGGGCTGCTTGCGAAACCGCTGGATGAAGGGAGCGCGAGGAAGAAAGCGGATGGGAAGGCGAAGGCGTGGTTTGGGGATGCGAATATGGAGATTTTGGGGCGGGTTGAGGAGGTGGCGAAGAGGAAGGGGGTTAGTATGGTATTGGTGGCTACGGCGTGGGTTTTGGGAAAGGGATGTGCGCCGATTATGGGATTGAATAGTGAGAAAAGGGTAGAAGAGGTCGTGGAGGCTTTGAGGGTGAAGTTGAGTGATGAGGATGTGAAGTATTTAGAAGAGAAGTATCAACCTAGAAGTATCGGGGGGCTGTAGAGTTAGATGCAGATAGGGCGGTGAGTGCTTGAGACTTTGAATGGAATAACTAGTGAAAGTTTCGGCGCGGTATTACTTCTATTTCCCGGATTTGCCGTATTGGCCCTTCTTAGAAAATACAAGACTTAAGTTGAATATGCGAATTGAGTGTCAAGACGGAGGGACATCTATAACCCGGCTTTCTTGCGGCAGTGAAGTTTCCGCACTTCTGCCCGTTCTCCAACATAACCCGAGTCTCCGGGCCAACATATGGGCAACGGGAATACGCATAGCGGGAGCTAAAGACTTAGTCGACTATCTTAAATATACACCGAGGCTCAAATAAGTATCCACAGTCACTGACCTGCATTTATCAAACTTCACGTCTCAACCCTCTCAATCAACCCTACCAACACTTCACAGTATGGCAGTCTTCTCCCCCAACCCCTCCCCCTAACCCTAACCCGCGCCCTCTTCTCCCTTCCGCCCCTCACATCAACCTCCCAAACCCTCCGCGCCGAAACGCGCCGCCAACTCCACCAAAACCCCTCCACCCCCCTCCTCATAGCCTTTGACGACGACCCCACCGGCACACAAACCTGCCACGGCATCCCCGTCCTCACCACCTGGTCCGTCCCCACCCTGACCGCCGAATTCACCTAAACCGCCCCCGGCAGCGGCTTCTTCGTCCTCACTAACTCGCGCGCCCTGCACGCTTATAAACTCGACATAAAAGTGCAACATGATATTAAAGAGTATGTCTATGTAGCACTACTTACGGCACTACTTAAGACTTTATACTCACATTGACCGCCCTGCTACTCGCGCATCCTTTTCTCCCTCGCTTCCCTCGCCTCCTTCTCTTGAATCTCTTCATTCAGACGCTGTGATAATTCTGCATTGATCAAGTATGACATGTTATTCATCAACTCCAATAGGTGCTGAGGAGCATAATCCATTTGTAGGCCATGTTGAGGTTCAAGTCTACCGCCACTCTGGACGGCCCCTGATTTGCTTCCAAGCTCTCTTGTTCTACCTTCTCCTCTCATTGTTTCCCTAGGTTTCTCCGCTTTCTGGGGATACCGCTTGCTTGAGGGTCAAACTGTGGATCATCTTCAGGGTTGCCTCTTCCTGCTTCTCCTGCGGTCCGTTTACGCTTTCCCATAGCCCGTACGTTGGAGCTTTCAGCGCCAGTACCAGGAGCTAGTCCAATATTTGAGGATGACGGTAAGCCGGAATTGACGGGCGCTTGCTCTGCCGCCTGCCGCACAAGACGATTATTAGTATAAGTGACAAGAGCTCTCATGGCTTCTTGTGCTTGACGGCGAAGATCTTCTTGACGGCGGCGGCGAACATGAGCCAGCTCGACTTTCCTTTCATAGACCCCTGTTATAGCGTTGAATTCCCTACAATGCCAGTAGCCTCCATCTGCATCAGACCATATCCAAGAAGGTGGGCCAAGTGAGGGTGCCTGTCCCTTGTGGACAGGCTGTCCATCGCCAACAGGCTGGTCACCAACTCCCTCATCCTGTCGATTCGTATCACTTCTGGCTGGTTCACCTGGCGATCCGCTAGCTTGTGTTGCATTTTCGACTTGTTGATTGGGAGCAGCCTCGGCACGATACTGGGCAAGTATCCAAGTAGCAAATTCTTCGGCATGGTCATTAGTCTCGCTTCTAGGGATTTCTTCTCCCTCATTCTGCCGATTCGTGCCGCTTCTCACTGGTTCACTTGGCGATCTGCTAGCACGTGTTGCATTTCCGACTTGTGGGTTGGCAGCAGCCTGGACACGACCCTGGGCATGGTCATTAGCCTCGCTTTCAGGGATTTCTTCCGGGTCTCTTGACAATTGCTCCGGTTCAGGAGGACCGCCACCTGCGCCATTTTCGCCACCTCCGCCACCTCCAGGACCTCCAGGACCTCCACCTGCCCCACGCATCACACGCCGACCAATACGGTATTTATTCTCCGGGAGGTGACGGATACGAAGGCATCTATCCAGCTCCTCTCGTTGCTTATCTCGGGCCGGCGTCTTGTTTTCCCAGTCCACCAATGCTCGTCGAGTCTCGACCACTAGCTCCCACAACGACGGTCTGATTCGTGGATCCTGTTTCTGATCATAGCCCAACGATTTCATCATGAGCTTCGTTAGACGCGCGGAGTACGTGTCCGCATATTCGCTGGGGTCCGGAGGATTGTATGCGTTCTCGTATGCCTCGCCCATTTGATCGAATCGAGGTATGTCCGGGACGGGCCTTATAGTTTCGGTAGTATTGTTGTTGGCTCCCGCCCAGTCGTTCCGAACGGACGTCCAATACTGAATATTGTACCAATACCTCATATCTGGGGCCTGCGGCGTTGCATTGTATGGGTTATCATATTGCTGATCGGGGTGACCGGGGTGATTAGTACGGTACATGCCGTCGCTGAGACGAGTCATCGACCAGATGATCATCCCAATTTCCCATACCATGGTCCGGTCTGTGGCCTGGATTTCCTGTTGGGCCGGGGGTGTGTCCTTTTCTTGCCTGACTGAAAACCTGATATTTGTGTCGGCCCAGCCGAGGAACTGTTCCTAGAATTCTTGATTAGCAAAGTAATGTAGACACGCCAATGAGAGGGTAATAGAATACTCACTGGTGCGGCATAGGCCCATGTGCCTCCATAGCATGGACCCGTATCATCGTCCGTTATTCCGAAGTCTGCCAATATTGGAACCGGATATCCTGGATATGTATCATTCTCTTTCGGCGCATCGAGGAGGACATTATCAGGCTTCATATCTGCATGTACCCAGCCAAGGTATTCAGGATCAAGCTTTTGGTAGTGGGACCTTGGATATGTATGTTCATAGCCGAGCGCGAGTCTTCCACGGCAGTACAGTACCCAGCACGCCTCAGCCAATGCGTTCCAGACATACCATACGAATACCTCGGGGAAGTAAACGGGACTGAGAATAAGTTAGTGTGTTGCAAGAAGAATACTGAGAAGACAACAATCGGATCGAACTTACGCCGGTGAATTTTTAGTTGAAGACTCTATATAATCGTCCAGGAGTTTCCCGAGAGATCCATACTGCGCAAAATTCATGTAAGTAGTCCTAAGAAATTTGTTAGGTTGCTCTAAATTGGATAAGGTTCACTTACCAAACGTTTATTACGACGGATCTGGCGGTACCCGGTTCCAACAGGCTCTTCTGGGTTTTGAACAGACCCCTCACTGTTGGGATATTCCTATGAAGCCAGGGTCGCGTTTCACGAAGGACCGTAATTTCTTTCGGCTCCGGCTCCTCAGGATCATCAAGAGCAGCGCTAGTTATGTTATGTACCCCCGGGGATGGTTCATGCGGATTGTTGGGATCTCGAGTCAGTTCACGCTTCCTTGCCATGCGCTGATATCAAGCGACCTATGAGTTAGCAAATAGAAATCTTTAATGATGACTAACTTACGTCCTGAATTGTATTGTTCTGCTCATCCGTGTAAATCCAGAGATCAACTTCGCCATAACTTCCTTTCCCAACGCTTTTCACGTACTTCCAATCCCCAGGTGGGAGATCATCCGCAGTATTCTCTAGTACGCCTAAAGGTGTTCGTTGTGGTGATTGGGGTGGTGGTCCAATGTTAAGTACATCTTCACCTGGTCCGCCTGGTGCGCCTGGTGGGACTTGCGATCCAGCTGGGGGTGGGACTTGGGGTCCAGCTGGGGGTGGGACTGGGGGTGCAACTGGTTGAACAGCTGGTTGCGCAGCAAGAACCGGATGATCAGCTATGAATCGGGTGCTTCGTCGCCTCCATCCCCGCTTTTCTTGTTCTGTAAGGTTTTTGAACTGCCTGTAGGGTACTTTGAGTTGTGTTTTGTTCCAATGAGTACTAGGAAGAAGTTAGCTAGCATATACTAAGAAATTAACATAATGAGGAGGTGCTCACATTCCTCGTGCGGCCTTGTAAGCATTGAAGCCGTATTTGTAGTGTACTCCCTGTTGCTTGGGTCCTTCAGGATCCTGTGCAGGCTGACCTTGACCCTGACCCTGGTTCATCGCGTCGGCTCGGGGAAATATGGAAATCTGCTAAAAGTGGGTTGTCGCAATCTGGGAAATTAGAAAGAGTGATTATTTTACAGCGTCAAAAAATTCGAAACGCGTAGAATGATGGTTTGCCATCTTAGTCTTATGTTTCCCTAATAAGAGCAAACAATACGCTTTGTCTGTTTCAAAGAACTCCAGGTAGCTCTCTGCCTCAGGGCGAACGGGCAGGGCGCACATTGTTGGAATGAACAAGAACACAAAGAAAAGTAGAGCAGGGTCGAGTGGCAGAACAAAGAAATCAACAGGCAACTGAATAATAACCAAATTATCACCTAAGCGAAATGGCAAACGATCAAAGGATTAAAGATGGGAAACAATGGATTCTTTGGGAAGATAGAGATCTAGTACTGGAAGAATAGAGTTGTGGACGTTAAACAACTCCGCCGAGTGACGGGCCCTCACGTGCAGAGGGTATACCACTTTGTTACCGGACCGTCTCAATATAAACTTACTGTACCGTTAGCTCGTAATCTGCGGCTAGGGCTTTTGGGTGGCTGTGAATTGATCGATGGGCGTGGGTGCATACACGTATGCTACTGCTTAGGGTGCTTCAATGCATTTTGAGATATTCAAGGGTGATGAAAGCTCTTTCCGTTGAGCTATTTGAACAGTCGCTGGAGCCCTCTAAGCACTGACAATGCACATTACTACTCCGCCCTCCTTCTCTTCGTCCCATTCGACCTAGCGCTCGCGGATCCATTCGCGGTAGCCGCTTTTCTCGCCTCATCCCCACTAGCCTGCGTCTCGTCGTTCATCCAATCCCGCCCTGCACCAGGGCTCTTCCGTCGGAACTGCCCCGCTCCAACAGCCACGACTTCGTCCTCGGAGTCGCTGCCCTCGATATCCAGAAGCACAGGCATTCTGAACTCGCCGGGCTGGAACTCAGCAGTCTTGCCGGGCTCAACCGTCAGCACGTCCACGTCTTCGTCTTCGAGATCCAGGCGGCGCTTGTGAAGCTCCTCGATCGGCTGAATGTCGAATTCGTCTTCGCGCTCAGCGTATTCAACGTTCTCTTCGACTTCGACGAAATCTGGGGCCAGAGCTGACCAGCGCTGGGGCGTGAGTATGGACCAGAGGTAGACGCGGCCGGAGTCTACGCCGACCGCGGCAACAAAGGGGCGGTGTGGGTGCCATTCCACCACGGAAAGCTCTTCCTTCGGCCCTTCGAGGATCTTGACCAGACTGCCGTGGCCGCGCTCCCAGACGTAGATGTCGTGATTCATCCAGGTAGACGCGGTGACATATTCCCCTGTTGAGGAGAAGGAGACGTGGTTCCAGGAGAGCCTGTTGACGACGTCTTGGAATTTATGCTCGACTTCCAGGCGCATGGTGTCAAAAGAGTGGGAAGGGTCTGCGAGATCAGGGAGGTTGAAGGTTCGGATTATGCGGTCGGAGGAGTTGACGACAATGTGGCTGCCTGAGGAGGTTGTTCGTATGTAGATGATGAGATGGCTCGTTACACGGGTTGAATACTGGACTTGGCGCGTTGAGGTGTCTATTATGTTCATCCAGCCCTTGTTGGTCCCTGATATTATGTAGTCTCCAGAGGGCGTAAAGACCGTGACGGTAGAGGTCTGTTTTGCGTCCTGCGCCGCTTGCTTCTCGGTCGCATTGTCGCGCTCGATTTGAGGTCGGAGAGGCGCGGAGGGGAGGGCGAGTTTCTGAGGGATCTCGGAGGAGATGTCGACTAGGAGAGGCTGCTCTTCGAACAAGGCAGCTACAAATAGTAGGCTGAAAGGTGTCAACAATGGAAAAGGCTCGCTTCAGTCACTTCACCCTAGGTTTATGTGCGCAGGCCTACGACGGGACACCGAAGATTGACTAGGAAACATACTGGTTCTTAGGATGTAGCTCCGCAATAAAGATGGGCGATTCGAGGCGGACAGTCCGCACTCTCGACCCATCCTTCAAATCCCAGAGCACGCATTTCCAGTCCTGCGATGCGCTCAAGATGTATCGATCGTCGGCAGACCAGCTGTAATGTTGTGAGCCCTGTTCTACCCATTCTCCAATGGCACCAACCTCAGTGACTGGACCTGCCGGGTGTGGCCTCGTAGTTTGCGCGCAACGCCATTGGTCTCGATGTCGAATATGACGACGATGCCGTCGAGCTGTGTGGCAGGTCAGTGCTGCGCCTCGACGTGCAGGGAGCCCACGAGCGTTTCATACCCGGCCGGAAGCGAGCAGGTCGCCGCGATGACTGAACCGAATCGAAGTCGAGTGGCCGCTGCCTGGTATGAGTCAGTCGCATTCGAAACGCGCGGCAGGGTGGACTGTACGCAGTCTGCCAGTAAGCGCCTCGGGGCAGTCCTGGGCGAGGACGAAGGGGTCGACGAGGGAGAGGTTCATGGCGGCGGGCGCGCTAGACGGCGACTCCGCAGGGTGATGGAAGTGGGCAACGAGGCTGGATGGGGGGGCAATCCACGCGCGCAGCTAGCATCTTCGGCGGCGCGCGACGGCGAACGCGTCTGAGTGAAGGCGGCCGTGAACTGTGTGGTGTTGCTCTGCTGCCGGCTCTCTTCGTGGCTGTTCTGTTCGAAAATGATGTTTCGGCTTGGCACGCTAGCCCTTTAGACGCTAGCGCCCCTGCACGAGCCCGCGCGGCGACAAAGGACGAGGAGACGCTGAATCCTCGTCTCCTCCTCCATCCTCCATCCTCCACCCACCGCCATCACCCCGAACTGCCTCACTTCCATCAGTGAGCGCGTCTGTCCTCCATCGCGCCTGTCTAGCCGTCGCCGTCGCCCGACGCAGACACGCGCCCCACGTAGCCGTCACCCGGTCGCCGGCCGCTGCGCGCCCTGGGCCTGTCGCAATCCTGCTCCTTTGATTTCCTTTAAGACTCCCGCCACCGTTCTTTGACCCTCTCCGCGCATCCAGCGCCCGTTGCAAACCCGACACCATCGATACCCGCAGCATTTCCGAGCCATCGCGACAACGAGAAGCCCCGCGAACCGTCGCGAAGGCGGAGGTGCTTGTGCCAGAGGCAGGGCTGCCAGGCCGGCTTTGGGTGGAGTCTTTGACGCTCACGACGCGCTCCAGCGCCCACTTCAACACCCGACCGCATCCGCTTCTCTTCCCGAACCGCAGTCATGGCGCCTCTAGGTACCGCGCTTGCGTCGAAATGCCCGCTGCGCACCATCAAGGAGATCCAGTTCGGCCTGTACTCGCCGGAGGAGATCAAGGCTGCTTCCGTCGTCCGCATCGAGTATCCTGAGACTATGGTAAGCGTCTATCACCTGCAGGTCCAATCCGACGGTGATACTGACCTTGTGTAGGATGAGCAAAAGCAGAAGCCTCGCGAGGGTGGCCTGAACGATCCCAAGCTCGGCACCATCGACCGCATGTACACTTGCCAGACGTGCAAGGAAGATATCACGACCTGTCCAGGCCACTTCGGCCACATCGAACTCGCCATCCCCGTCTTCCATGTTGGTAAGGGAAATTGCGCTGCTCCGATGAGATTTTCTTACTGACTTCGCCACAGGCTACATCACCAAGATCAAGAAGATCCTGGAGACGGTCTGCCACAACTGTGGGCTGATTTTGGCGGATTACGTGAGTCTACCTTTACGGGCAGACTTTGGTGATGCCTTGCCTTGATCATGCTGACGCTATCTAGAACCATCCCGACTGGGCCGCAGCCCTCCGTATCCGAGACAAGAAGCGGCGTTTCGACACCATATGGCGACTGTCAAAGACGAGGACTACCTGCGAGGCTGAACTGCCCGATGACGACCAGAAGAAGGGATCGGCGAAGATAGCGCATGGCGGTTGTGGCAACAAGCAGCCCGACACCATCCGAAAGGAGGGTCTCAAGCTGTTTGCGACCTTCAAGGCAAAGAAAGGCGACGAGGACGATGGAAAGGGTGACGAGAAGAAGCCTTTGACTCCCCAGGACGCGCTCAACATCTTCCGGATCCTGTCCGATAACACCCTCCAGCTTCTGGGTTTGAACGCCGACTATGCGCGACCAGAGTGGATGATCATAAGCGTTCTCCCAGTCCCTCCACCACCGGTTCGCCCTAGTATCTCCGTCGATGGTACCGGCCAAGGTATGCGCGGTGAGGACGATTTGACCTACAAGCTCGGCGATATCATCCGCGCGAACGGTCGAGTACGAGAGTGCATTCAGGAAGCCTCGCCTCAGCACATCACCGAGGAGTATGAAAACTTACTCCAGTACCACGTCGCCACCTACATGGACAACGACATTGCGGGCGTCCCACAGGCATTGCAGAAGTCCGGCCGTCCCCTCAAGACTATTCGAGGCCGTTTAAAGGGAAAGGAAGGCCGTCTCCGAGGCAATTTGATGGGAAAGCGTGTTGATTTTTCGGCTCGTACCGTCATCACTGGCGATCCCAATCTCTCCCTGGATGAAGTCGGTGTGCCTCGATCCATTGCAAAAATCCTGACGTATCCGGAGATCGTGACAAAGTTCAACATTAGCTTTTTGACGGGTTTGGTGAAGACGGGCCCAATGGATCATCCTGGAGCAAACTACATCATCAAAGGCGACGGGACACGCATAGACTTGAAGCACAACAAGCGTCTGGACGATATTCGACTTCAATATGGGTGGCGGGTCGAGCGCCATATCATAGACGGCGACGTCATCATCTTCAACCGGCAGCCGTCTCTGCACAAGGAATCTATGATGGGTCACAGAGTCAAGGTCATGCCATACTCGACCTTCCGCCTCAACCTGTCTGTTACTTCTCCATACAACGCCGATTTCGACGGAGACGAGATGAATCTTCACGTCCCACAGAGCGACGAGACTCGTGCCGAGGTGCAAGGATTGTGCATGGTCCCCCTGAACATTGTCTCGCCTCAGCGAAACAGCCCACTCATGGGTATTGTACAAGACACACTCTGTGGTATCTACAAGATGTGCCGTCGCGACGTGTTCCTCACCAAGGACATGGTTATGAACATCATGCTGTGGGTTCCAGAGTGGGATGGACTCATCCCTCCACCTGCGATCTTGAAGCCCCGACCCAGGTGGACTGGTAAACAGATCTGCAGTCTGATCTTTCCTGAAGGACTCAACCTAGCGCGCCTGGATGCCGGTGACAAGTCCCCTCTCGAAGATGAGGGCTTTCTCATTCATGGAGGTGAACTGATGTTCGGTCTTCCCAAGAAGGCGTTTGTTGGTGCGAGCGCCGGCGGTGTTATTCACATCATCTACAATGAGTATGGTTGGCAAGCCGCTGTCAAGTTTTTCAATGCCACCCAGCGCATCGTCAACTATTGGCTCCTACACAACGGATTCAGCATCGGCATTGGCGATACCATTCCTGATGCTGCGACCTCGTTGCAAATCCAGGACGCCATCACGACGCAAAAGATCGATGTCGAGAAAGTCACGAAGTTGGCGACCGAGAACGAACTAGAAGCCCTGCCAGGCATGAACGTTCGTGAGACTTTCGAGAGCAAGGTGTCCAAGTCGTTGAACTCGGCACGTGACGTCGCTGGTGACAGGACTCAAAAGAGTTTGAAAGACTCGAACAATGCCAAGCAGATGGCGAATTCCGGGTCAAAGGGCTCTGGTATCAATATCTCGCAGATGACTGCGCTCGTGGGCCAACAGTCCGTTGAGGGGAAACGCATCCCGTTCGGCTTCAAGTATCGCTCCTTGCCTCACTTCACCAAGGATGACTATTCCCCTGAAGCTCGTGGTTTCGTTGAGAACTCATACCTACGAGGGTTAACGCCAACTGAATTCTTCTTCCACGCCATGGCTGGTCGTGAAGGTCTGATCGATACTGCTGTCAAGACCGCTGAGACTGGTTACATTCAACGTAGGCTGGTCAAGGCTCTTGAGGATGTTATGGTCAAGTACGATGGTACTGTCCGTAATTCTCTCGGTGACATTGTCGAGTTTGTTTACGGAGAAGATGGCCTAGACGGTGTGTGCATTGAGAAGCAGAAGGTCGACATGATCAGCTGCTCTACTTCGAAGTTCGAGGAACGATATCGCGTCGACGTCATGGAGAGCAAGTACCCAATTTCGCCAGATATCCTTGAGCTTGCACCAGAAATCGCTGGCGATGTCGATGTGCAGCGACACTTGGACGAGGAATGGGACCAGCTTTGCAAGGACCGCGACTTCTGCCGAGAAGGTATCGATGACAACAACGAAGACCTTCAGCTGCCGCTCAACATTGTTCGCATAATTGAGACTGCGAAGAACACATTCAAAATCAAAGATGGTGCCCGGAGCGATCTTCATCCTATCGAGGTCATCACTAAAGTCAAAGCCTTGCTCGACCGGCTGGTGGTCGTTCGTGGCGATGATCCTCTCTCTATTCAGGCCCAGGATAGCGCGACGAAGCTGTTCAAGTGCCAACTCCGGTCGCGCCTTGCCTTCAAGCGTCTTGTGACTGAGTACTCGCTCAACAAGCTGGCTTTCGAGAGCGTCTTGGGTGAAACCCAGGATCGATTCCTCAAAGCCGCCGTCGCTCCCGGAGAGATGGTCGGAGTTCTTGCCGCACAGTCTATTGGTGAGCCTGCTACCCAGATGACGCTCAACACGTTCCATTTTGCTGGTGTGTCGTCCAAGAACGTGACGCTCGGTGTTCCGCGTCTCAAGGAAATCCTTAACGTCGCCACTAACATCAAGACTCCATCGATGACGATTTGCCAAGAAGATCCCAGTGCCACCCAGCAACAAGCAAAGGTCCTGCGAAGCCGTATCGAACACACCACCCTCCGCTCTCTTGCCCACTCGTGCGAACTCTACTATGACCCCGATATACAGTCGACTGTTGTAGAGGAGGACGCAGACATGGTAGACTCGTACTTCATGATCCCTGAAGACAACACCGACTACGAACGCCAATCTAAGTGGCTGCTTCGCATCATTCTTGATCGTAGAAAGCTGCTTGACAAGAGTATTTCCATTGCTGAGGTTGCTGCTACGGTTAAGGCGGACTTTGCTCCAAATATGGCAGTTATTTTCAGCGATGACAATGCCGACACGCAGGTGCTCCGTGTCCGATTCATCTATGATACCGTCTTCAAGGGCGGTGAGGATGATGAGGAGGACCGTGATGAGCGTTGGATGAGGAAGCTTGAAATGCACTTGCTTGACGAAGTCAGTCTTCGTGGCGTGAAAGGCATCGAAAAAGCCTTCATTAGAACCGACGAGCGCATTCACATTAAAGAGGACGGTTCAATCATCAAAACAAGAGATGAGCCCGTCTGCCAGGAATGGATTCTCGATACTAGTGGCACAGCGCTTGCCTCGGTCCTTGCCGTCGAAGGCATCGACCCTTACCGAACGTACTCAAATTCCTTTGTGGAAATTCTTGGGGTCTTCGGTATTGAAGCTACTCGGGCGGCCCTGCTCAAGGAGTTGAAGCAAGTGCTGTCGTTCGACGGTTCGTACGTCAATCATCGTCACTTGGCGCTCTTGGTTGATATCATGACTGCACGTGGTGTTCTCATGGCCATCACTCGTCATGGCATCAATCGTGCCGAGACTGGTGCTCTCATGCGTTGTTCCTTCGAAGAGACAGTCGAAATCCTACTTGATGCAGCTGGAAACGGTGAGCTCGACGACTGCAGAGGTGTTTCCGAGAACATCATGCTTGGCCAGCTCGCTCCAATGGGTACTGGCGAGTTCGAAATGGTCATGGACAACGCCATGTTGCTCACTATGATTGAGGACAACTCCCACGTGCGCGGCATTGGTGCTGGTATCGGTGGCTACGCTGATAGTGGTGCCGCTACTCCGTATGACCTTGGCTCGCCAACCTACGAAGGTGGCGGTATGGTTGGTCCGGACTATGGAGCATCCTTCTCGCCGATTTCGCAACCTGGAACAGAGGACCAGGGTGGCTTCAGTGTGTATGGCGGAAGCGGATTTGGAGACGGCAGCATGAGCCCCTACGGAGGAGGACGAAGTCCTGGTTATGCGCCGACGAGTCCCTTCGGCACAAGCCCCACGTCTCCAGGCTACTCTCCTACCTCGCCTGGATACTCGCCAACCTCACCAGGCATCAGCAGCCCTCGCTTTGGCGTCACGTCTCCTGCCTTTGGTGGCGCGACCAGCCCGCAATACACACCCACGTCGCCGACGTATTCGCCCACTTCGCCGGCCTACGGCGCCAATGGCTCGTCGATATCTCCCACCTCCCCGTCTTACTCGCCTACCTCACCATCTTACTCCCCGACTTCGCCCTCGTACTCTCCGACTTCTCCAAGCTACAGCCCGACGTCACCGGCACACCACGTGGGTCGTGGCGCGACCTCGCCACACTACTCACCAACGTCGCCTGCCTACAGCCCGACGTCTCCGATGTACAGCCCTAGCAGTCCGCAATTCGGAGGTAGAGGAACCGACAGGCGGTCGCCAACCTCGCCTACTTCCCCCAGCTACAGTCCCACCAGCCCCGTGTACAGTCCGACGAGTCCAAACGCGAACGCTGGTAGCTACTCGCCGACTTCACCGAAGTTCTCCCCCACATCTCCAGGCCCCGCGCCGTACTCTGCTACGTCGCCGAAGTGGTCGCCTACCTCTCCCACCTATTCCCCGACGTAAGCACCTCAACATCCTCAATTCCTGGAGACATTGCTGACATGACTACCAGATCACCGAAGCAGTGATGATTCACCTCCGTACGCCAGGCGTTCTATGGGAGAATCATCCCGTAAGACTCAAATCTTGCTTTTTGTATAATCAGCGTTTTGCTTGTTCATTTGGCTAATTCTTTTTGGTGTGCGCCAAAGTCATCTTCCGTGACGAAAGACCGACACAGCCACTACCAAAAAAAAAACATAAACGCTCGGTCCCACGTACCTTTCGCTAGGCCCACGTTAGGCCGGAGTGTTCTTTTCCTCAACTGTACCATCATAAATTTTTCTGCCTTCAAGCCAAACTCAAGCCAAAACGAGAACGAACACCCCGAATTACCCCAAAATTTGCTTGCCTGCGTTTCCCTACTATACCTCGAACCCGACATCGACTGCCTCCGGCTTCCGATTCTCCTCGAGGTTTTTCTCTCGTGCTTTTGCTTAGGCTCGGGTTAATTTGTGTCAACTTGCACTTTCTTGGCGTTTTTGAGCCTGCTTTGCTGCACCTGGAGGCCGGGGGTGGTGGATCTGGCGTTTACTGTTTTGAGCTTTTGCTTCTGCATTGGTGGGCTTTAGAGCTTGATATGCGCTGCGCGAGGATGCGCGCTCTGCCCGTAGGCTAAATTGCGATGCGGTGAAGGACGGGCTTTTTCCTTGGAGATGGGGGATGAGGGAATGGCTGGGAGAGAGATGGGAGGGCGGAGGGATGATGAGGAAGTAGCGAGATACACTTGATACACTTGAATGAAATGACAAAGTTGTCGATAAGTAAGGTTGTTTTGAGTGTGATGATGAATTGCCTCGGTAGAGTTGTGAGCGAGCCGGTCACCCAAAACACAACTTACAGCCTGCAGTCCTTCCAAGGTTCATATCCTTTCACGAACTTCACACGTCTTTGGACTACCTCTAACATCGCTACTCACCTGGGGAAGTGTTCTGATTCCACTACGTTTACCTGGAGACATCATCGCGTCTTTACTCCGTAGAAGGCCCAAGGTGATCTGCGAAACACCTGCCCTGAATATCAATTTGGCTGACGCTTTGACCATGCACCGCCACCGCTGTCCGCCCCATTTCCGCATGGATGGTTGAAGCTGAGACCAGGAACAATTCCTGCACCTCCTCCGCCTTCTTTACATATGAACTATTACTCCAGAATACCGCCTCTAAAGGCTTTGGAACCATTACTGCGAGCCCTATGAGGAGTCCCAGATTCTTCATCAACGCCCGGTCGCGGTTTTCCCAAATCTGGACCCTACGAACTCGACAATATCAATATGCGCCATTGCCGTCAGCGACCTCTATACGTCTCTTGGAACTGTCTCCTTCGGACGATAGTAAAGTATCATGCTCGTTAAGAGCCTTTGAGCTTAGAGATGCCCCGCCGTTCGACGCTCTAAGCTATACTTGGGGAAACCCCTTACCTCAGCTCTCACGGGCTTCATTACCAGCCTCAAAGGGACGAAGGCCAACAACAACATCAAATAGCCTGTCTCGCCCGCCGTATTCCTCGAAGAAAATAGAACTAGCAAACGCTCCTGAGGATTCCGGACGAATTCGCCGTTATCCCATCATCTGCGACGATTCCAGCATCTTTGTCACAGCAAATCTCAAAGATGCCCTCCAAATGCTCTGCAAGTCTCTTGGCTCAACTGAGAGAATTACCGAGTCTCGTTATCTTTGGATTGATGCTATATGTGTTGATCAGAAAAACATCCTCGAGCGGAACCTTCAGGTGTTTCTTCTGGTTCTTATATTGAGAGCGCTTTCTAACGAAATGACAGGTCGCCCTCATGGCAGAAACGTTCAAAGCTGCTCAAAAAGTGATAGTATGGCTTGGGAAAGAGGATGAATTTACATCTGATGCATTAACTGTAATCAACGCTATATCAACGATCCCCGAACCCCACTGGGCTTCCGCAAGCTACACGAGTTTTTATGCAGACGAGGGATGCCTCAAAGAGCTTGGTATCTCGCACCTATCCATTTTCAATTGGCTTGGATTCATCGCATTCATCAACCGACCATGGTTCAAAAGGGCATGGGTTGTCCAAGAGATTGCTCTAGCTAAAACCGCGGTTCTTGTATGTGGTCAAAATACCCTTCCATGGGACAAGCTCTCCAAAACTTTAGCTTTTATCAAAAAGAGCCGATGGTACCATCATCTGTCGACCGAGAAGCTGAGACATGTTGCCACTGTCAGAGAGACACCAGGGGTGTATAAGAACTTATTGAAGTCAAAGGCAGAAGTTGACATGTCATCGTTCTATCTAGATCGGACGCGGATACAGGTAGCTGCTTCAGGCCGGTTCGTACCGCATTCGGCCGTTCGACGACGAAAACCATCACTTCGCGTTCTTCTCGACACGCATCGATTCTCCGGGTCTACCGATGCGAGGGATAAAGTCTACGCGTTTCTCGGACTCGCGGACAGGAAGGCGTTCCCATTCAATACCCAGCCAAAAGCCCTAGCCGCGGACTACAAGCTAACAGTACAGCAAGTGTACACTGAAACTGTACGAGCGCTCTTGATAGCAAACAAAGACCTGGATATTCTATGCCACAAAGAAGATCGCTCCCGGACCAAGATACCAAGCCTTCCATCATGGGTGCCGGACTACTCTGTCGCCATAAAGCCATATCCTCTCAAGTTTCGAGGAGTTGTGCAAATGAAACTTTGGAAAGCTTCCGGCAAGCTCTCATGGGCACCAGACATGGCTGCAATGAACAATGGCCTACTCCCCGTTCAAGGCTATTTACTAGATGTAATCGATAATGCTTCCATTATGCGAGAAGAATCACAAGATCCCGTCGCACCTTGGGCCAGCATCGTTAGGCTAGCACTCGGACTGGACGACTATTATCGAATCTGTCGACTCAACTATCGGCAAATTTCACGCGTCGAGGTTCTCTGGAGGACTTTGACTACGAACACTTACGCACGCCAGCACCCGGCTCCAACTAGGGCCGGGGAGATGTTTGTTGATTATATCTTAAATCTGCAAATACGACACAGATTGACGCCCTGGTCCAGCGACATTGACTTTCAGCCTCAGCATAATCCTCTTTCTGCTTCAATATACCCCGAATGGCATGCGCTGCTCTCAGCTGAGCCCGAGGGATCACCTTACAATATTGGAGCATACAAGCAGCGGTTGACATCTGTCGTAGAGAGCATGTTCAACGGGACGTATTCTCCCATCGGGCTTGCACAACTCCAGCACGAGCTTGATAATGGCGGGGGAACCATGCGCCGTTTATTCAAGACTCATACTAAGTTCCTTGGCACCGGACCGCGCTCTCTTCAACTGGGCGATGAGCTATGGGTACTCGCAGGAGCGCCAGTCCCATTTGTTTTGCGTCGGCTTCCCAACGGCAACCATCAGCTTGTTGGCGAAGCATATGTGTACGGCCTGATGCACGGCGAGGCGCTTGAGATGGGTCTCAGTCTTGAAAAAACGACCTTGGAATGACCTCCGCATGTTGTCAGTCTTTTGCAACTCGTTTTCGCATACCTCACGTCTGCCATGTATCACGTGATCGCTCAACTAACTACTCGTGGTCTCCTCCCGCCATCGTTGAACCGACCTCGGATTAATTTCGACGAACATATCAGCGCCTTTTGGAACCAACTTATCAATACGATTTAGAGCGCATGACTCTACGTACACTGATCCGCCCCTGCCTGGAAGCGACTAAGGACGGTGCACCTGCATATTTTTTACCAGCACAAAGGATTCAACCAAAGTTTAAACGAATCGTTCGCATCTTAACTTTTTCAACTTCTCATTGCTCCTACACTCATCCTCGCTGCAGCATCTGAACTCCAGAACATGCAATATGAAAATGTCCTGGATGACCAATCACCATAAGCAAGCATCACCTTGCTAGAACACTAAATGGTAGCGCGACACCGTCATACTTCCGAACGGTCCGCCGAGGCGTCCTTGAAAGTGTAAACACACCCCACAATACCCTCTGTCTTCCCGCATGAGTCTCTTCAAGTCCTCACACACCTTTCGTTCGCCTGTTTCTCGTGCTCTTCTCCCCATCTTGTCCTATTGACCGACAATGGGCGTCACCCTCTCCACCAACTCCGCCCTCGCCCCCATCTCCTTCGCGTCCACCGTCATCGGCTTCATCAGCTTCGCCTTCACACTCGCAACCTTCCTCAACGTGTTCTGGAGCAACCTCCTTACCTTCTTCAGCGCACCCACCGAAATACACGACTACCTCTCGAACCTCAAGCAGGGCCTCTACGAAGAGCGGACCCATCTGCGGCGTGCGCGCCGCCGCGACCGCCGAAAGAGCGTGGGGAGTCGCACACGAGAGAAAGATGCTGGGATTCGCTCGTTTACGAGGGGCCACTCGCAGGACGAGGACGTGGCGTTGCGGGTCATGCGTGAGACGATCAAGCATATGATACGGCAGTTTCGGGCGCTTGAGCGGCCGTTTTTGAGGGATAGGGCGGGGTTGGCGCGAGAGGAGAAGGGGTATGCGGATGAGGATGAGGTTGAGTGGCCGGATTACTATAGGACGGATTACAGGGAGTGTGGGTTTCGGGAGAGGTTTGTGTGGTTGCGGCGGAAGAATGATGTTGTGAATTTGCTGGAGGGATTGGCTAGGGTGGAGACGAGGAGGATTGCGAAGGAGGTTGGGGACGTTGCGATGTAAGTGTGAATTTGGGTCTTTGGGGTGGAGGCAGAGGGAGAAGCGTGCTAACTGGTTACTGAAGGATGGTGAGAGACCTTGGAAGAGACCTCGCGGACATGCATGACTCTGTCTACGGACTTGAGCAGAGACTATCGAGAGTGGTGGGAATAAGACGGGTTGATTGAGCAAAAAGACGAGAATGAGTCTTATCCCACCAGCTAACTTTATTAATCTAAAAGCAATAATCCATCCGTATGTACACCCCACGGCCGTAGATATCATTACCATGCCCTTATTCTAGTGTGCTGCTCTCTAAACAAAGAATGACATTCTACCTAACCTCTCCCTCCTGGCCTCCGTACTACACCCCCGGGTAAGTATCTAGACAGGCTTTTCACAACTCGCATTTCTCAATTCCTTCAATATCAGGTTATGAAAGTGCGAAATTTGAACAAAGAAATCCCGTTTCTGAGAGCGCCTTTCCAAAGCCGGCCATCGATATGTGACACTTTCCTTTGTATATGCGGCCAACAAAGCAAACTCGAGGTGACCACCCACCACATTTCTCAAGCTTAGCTATTCTACACATTTCCTACAGCTCATCCTTTTTTCGCCATCACTACCCTCAGCTTACGAACGCGCTCGAATTAAGTCGCAAGCTTCTGAACACCCCTTTCTACGCACCAGATAATACAACACAAACTCAATATCCCCACGAACCAAAAAAAAACCATCCACGCAAGGTATTCAACCCGCCTTCCAACACGTTTACGAATCTCGTTCCAAACATCTCAGCGCCCCCACCCCATCTCAAAATGCCCATCCGCAAGCCTCCCCGCCGGCCTCCAGCCCCCCTGCGCCGCCAGAGCTGGCTCGACCGCCTCCACTCCACCCTCTCGACCCTGGACGACCTCCCTTACGCAGGCAAAGACGTAGGAATGGGCGAAGGCGACGGCGACGGCGACGGCATGCGCGACATCTCCTCCCCCTCCCCTTCCTCCGACATCCCCATGCGCTCCCCCTCTCCCCCATCCAACGAACCCGCAGAACCCGCCACGGGCCGTCGGCGCTTCGCAACCGCCGTGCTGATCGACCGCAAGGCCGACCGCGCGCACGTCGCTGCGCTGCGGCGCAAGCGGGCGGCGGAGTGGGTGGGGCACACGCAGCCGGCGGCGAAGAGGCGGCGGGAAGAGCAGGGCGGGGCGGAGGGGGAGGGGAGTGGGAGTGGGATCAAGAAGCGGCGGCCAGCGCTCAAGCCGCCGAAGACGGCGACGAGGGCGTGGAGGGCGGGGCTGCCGACGATTGAGGAGGAGCCGGAGAGCCCGAGGGGGATGACGGCGGATGTGGACTTTTTGCGGAGGTTTGAGGCGGCGAGGCGGAGGTCGGCGAGGCGGGCTGAGATGGGCGAGACGGCTGCCCGGGATGATAGGGGCGGCGATGGGCTTGGGTTCTTGGACGATGCGCGGTTGGGGGGTAGAGATGACGGGCTGGGGTTTTTAGAGTACGTGTGACCCTCTGGGTGTGGATTTGGCGTTGAGGGTTGATCTGATGGCTGACGCAGGGAGGTAGTTTCGCCGAGGCGGGATATCGTTTGAGGGAGCCGAGGGCGCTGTTTAGACGGAGTGGTGATGGCGACGATTCAAGTTCCCTGGTGGCTGGCGATGGAGCACATCTCGATCCGATTACGCTTCAGCTTGCTCTGGCCCCTGTGGAGGATCTGGATTGGCAGGCTGTTGGGGATGAGGGGACGTGGCATGCTATTGTGGAGGATGAAGATGAGGGGGATTATGGGGATGAGGGGGACGATGGGTATGATGGGTATGATGGGGATGGTGGGGATGATGGAGCTAGGAACGTTGAGGATGCTCTAATAGCTGGGGAAAGAGATGATGAAGAAGGGGGAGTACATGAAGACGATGGTGGCGATTGGCCGCAGGATGAGTCTAGGGGGAATGGGAATGATCGAGGAGGTCAAAACGAAAACGACGAAGACGAGTTGTGGCACCATCCGCCCACCATTATCGACCTCGACTTCGCTGACCTGCACAACCCAGCGATTCTTCACCATTACCTGCTACACAGGCGCAGGGAGCTCCAGAGCTTCGCTCGGGGCCTCACTGTCCAGAACACTGCGGACTTCCGGGCATTACAGAATATGGGCCCTTCAGAGTATCGCTTTCGCCTAGGAGAATTAACGCATGTCGTCCAACAGATTCACGAGGAGCTGGGCGACCCCGACAACGACTCGGGTATAAGCCCCCTCCTCCTCAGCGACATTACCGACCCGGATGTTTTGACGATACTGGACCCGCATCTCCGGGACTTCGCTCGAGGGATCATAAATGCGAATGCTGCCAGTTTCGAGACCAGGCGGGCGATGAACGAAACAGAATACAGAGACGCCTTGACCGACTTGACGAACGCTGTTATAGATATTCGTCAGGGACAGGGGCAAGTCTACGCAGGTTGCCAGAGCAGCTCCGATGGCCCCAGTGACGCAAATATCAATTTCGCCGACCTATACGAACCCGAAATCCTGAACGAGCTGGCTCCCAACCTCGAGGCTTTTGCGCGAGGGCTCACGAATCAGGGCCCGGACGAGTTCGAGGCCATGCAAGCCATGGAGCGAGACGCATACGAGACCGCCTTGCGGGATTTAGCGAGCGCCGTTGCGGCAGTTCGATGGTCAATGATGGGCGCAGGACCTGCCGAAGACCCGAACTCAATCTTTTTCAACGACTTGTTCAACGCGGATTATCTGGCCCAGCTGCCCGAGCATCTGCAGACTTTTATGAGGGGGCTTGCGAACCAGAATTCAGCGGATTTTGCGGCTGTGAGGGCAATGGACATGATGGAGTACGCACTGGCTCTAAACGCGTTGGAGGAGAGTATCGTAGCGATGCGGGCGGAGGGGCTGAGCGATGATGCTGGAAGTGGTCAAGACGGAAACAGCCAAGGGCGAAGTAACCAAAACGCCGACGACGACAACGTACCGCTCCTCAACCTCGCTGACTTGTATGACGAAGAAATGTTGAGGAGGCTGGATCCTGATCTTGAGGATTTCGCGAGGCAAATCGCGGCGCAGAACCCAGCGGACGTGGGGGACATTCGGCCTGCTCAGGGCGATGAGAACCATGCGGCTCTCATGGCGCTTTTGGTGGTACAGTTGAATGAGGTTCGAGCGCGGGCGGAGGGCAGAGCAGCAAGGAAAGGTCCCACTGCAGGTAAAGTTCCTGCTGTTAGAGGCCAAGCTCCTGCTGTGCGTGGTGCTTATAGACAAGGTGGTGGTGATCAGCCTCCTGGCGGTTCTTCTAGCAGTTCTTCCGATGATCAAAGTAACGGAGGAGGAAGGGGGTTTGGAATAGGGGGTGGAGGGAGTTCTTCTGGTTCTTCTGGTGATTCAGCCAGTCGATTTATGGAAGCTCTACTCGAAGCGGGCGATAGGCTTCACAGATTGACGGAAATACCGGAGCCCAGGGACCTGCCGCGGGCGGTATTAAACCACATCAGACGGCGCGTGGTGCTGATTCGAAACAATGATCCCGCAGTAACCGATTACGGTATGTGTAACCCCAGGTATTCTTCGAGAGATTTGGACGCCAAAATCTAACTCTGGGTTCAAAGAGGCGTGGTACAGAGCGTACAGAGAATTACTGCGCATTGAGCATGTTTGCCGGGTGGGCCGCCCAGAAGATCCAGGAGACCCTATTGGTATGTCCAGCGTCAGATCCTATTCAAGAGACGTAATGACGATTTGCTGACTATGGTATTGCTTCGTGAAGCTGCGTGGTATGACGCATATATACCACTAGCGAATCTGCCCCGAGCAGACCGGTTGAGACTCCGGTTTCTTGGAGATCGTGCGGCAGAGGCACTTTTAGCACTTAACGCCGAAGGAGACCAGAGAACTTGGACGTACAAGAAGATGCTGGGTGCTGGAGGTTTTGGTGTTGCCAGACTCTATGTCAAAACAGATGCACGGAACAATATCGTAGATGTGAGTGTCACTCGACGAACAAACCGTGTTGGGTAAACTGACTCAGGGTACAGAGAGTGGTTATCAAGATTATGAGGATTGGTAGACCTCAAGGCGACCAGGAAGCCATACAGGAGGTTAACAACTGTCGGGAGATTCGACAGCTGAATATCCGATATTGCGTGGGTATCCGTGGAGACAATATGTTCCGTGTTCCCGCAAGAGTAGACCGGCCATTGTCGACTCAACATAGCATATTCTTCGAATACTGCCCTTACGGAACTTTAGAAGACCTTATTAAACAGTGGGCCGCGGCGTAAGTTTATATGGCCAATCACGATCAAACAACGACGGTTAATGTCGCTAACATACGATGTAGTGACGACCAAATCCCAGAGCTCTACGTATGGCACATATTGCGCGGGATGGCCGAAGCGCTTTGGCACTTGGAGTGTGGAAGAACCCTTACCCATGGCGTCGATAATGGCTATCCAGCACCCTTTGTCCATTTCGACATCAAACCGGCGAACATCTTCGTGGCCGAAAACACTCCTGGCTACCCATTTGAGGACTATAACAAGCCTGTATTAGGTGACTTCGGCTTAGGTAGATTCATCCCCGACTGGGACTATACTCAAGATGCGGGCGGGACCCGCGGGTTCACGGCGCCGGTAAGTCATACGTACAGCTCAGCCCCTTTGCACTCATCCCTAACGCCTCTGTCTAGGAGATCGACCTCCTGACCAACGATCACGCCGATTTTCAAAATAACCGCGACGCTCTAGGACGGGGGCGTGCCGACATCTGGTCGCTCGGTATGACTATATGGTGCATCATGCGCCTCGTCACTACGCCAGCGCAGATATCACACAACCACCCGCACCCAGACGACCTCCCACAGCCCCACCCACTCGACGCCATGGATTACATGCCTTCCCGCGCGACCTCGGGGATGCGGCTCTACTCGCTCGACCTGGAAGAGCTAGTAACGGCCTGTTTGTCCTGGAGGCCACAGGATCGGCCCTCAGCCGGCGACCTCGTGCGCCGCATCAACAACTGCCTGAACATGCGCACGGACTTGCCACGGTATCAAGAGAATATAACTATCGAAAGACTTAGGCCGCCTCTGCCATCAATTGCGAATCGCGACACCTTGAGGCTGGAGCGGCGTGATCCTGTCGGGAATCCGCCAGCGCCCGGAACCCTCCCTAATGAGATCCAGTTACGCCTTCCGGTCACAGGCCAGTGGCCCGAGAGGTGGCCGGCCCCGGCGGTCCCAGACAACTATGGGGTCGGGGGTGTGGCGCCAACTACGCCGTTCCGTAAAAACGTGTTGCAAGACCGTCAAGGCGGTCTCATCGATCCTCGCGCTGTGATAGCCTCGAAGAGACGAAACATGGCGCAGAGAGGACGCGGGGCGACTTGGTTGGGGGCTCAGCTTGGGGTCATAGGCCAGTAGATAGGGCATACCGCAATTCGACAATCTGGATCGGTTCAGGTAGCTCATCTAGAGATGTTGGACTTGAAAACAGTGGTACACTCAGCAGTTCAACACCGTCTGAGGTGGCCCGGCGGGCTATCAGGCTTACCAAAGCTGGTACTTCATAGATTACAATAACATGCTGGAAGACCTCAAGCGGTGCTAGGCAAGTGTACAGTACTAGGCCATACGTCTGGGCATGTGGATTTATCACTGCCTGGCTCCAATCAATGAGGTGCGTTGGCGCATTGTCATGGTGGCAGGTACTCCCGCCGTCTGAGGTGGCCCGGAGAATTATTGTCTTGCTGCCAAGTGACCAGGGCGAGCATCAACTCGCTCCGTGTCACGTGTATTCTAGCGAGCTCACGAGTGCCAAGCCTTACTCGGCGGGCCTACCCAGAAGGAGAATGTCGGAGTGGACAGCTCCTCCTAGGAGACATAGGTCCCTGGCTCTGATGACCCTAGTCAATATAAGCACCACCCTCTTCCCCCACAATGAAGCCAGAATCGATTCCTCTGCGCCCTTCACCCAAACACGACAATGGCTGAGAGCACCATCGTCCTCATCACCGGCGGAAACACAGGCCTTGGCTACGAGTCCGTCAAAGCTCTCTACGGATCCCCCAAAGGACCGTACACCATCTTCCTTGGCGGTCGATCAATCGAGAAAGTCCACGCTGCCATTGCTCGTCTAAAGAACGAGATCCCAGACTCAGCGAGCAGCCTCTTGCCGCTGCAGGTCGACATCGAGAGCGACGAGTCCATTGCCGCCGCCTTCGAAAACGTGAAGTCGCGCGTGAGCCATATCGACGTACTAATCAACAACGCGGGTATGTATCTACCGTACCAGCCCTTCCACGTAAGACTTCCACAACACTGATTAACGATGCTCCTCAGGCGCCATTTTCGACAATGAGATCGACGAAACCCCGGCCTCCATCCGCGCGGGCATGATCAAAACCTACAACGTCAACGTCGCCAGTACCCAGGTCATGACCGTCGTGTTCGAGCCCCTGCTCCTGAAATCCGCAAATCCGCGCCTCCTCTTTGTGACGTCGGGCCTCTCGTCTTTTACGACTGCGGCCGCGGGGCTCAATCGGCCAAACACGATGGCGTACCGCACGAGCAAGACGGCGTTGAACATGCTGATGTGGGAGTGGTGTGTTAGACTCAAGGACTCGCCGGCGAAGATATGGTGCATTTCGCCGGGCTTGCTCAGTACGGGGTTACTTGGGGCGTTAATAGGAAACGATGACGTGGAGAGTATGCGGCAGATAGGTGCGGAAGGGCCGGAGGCTGGAGGGGTTTTTGTCAAAGATGTTGTGGAGGGAATCCGGGACAATGAGGTTGGGAAGGTTGTGGATCGGGCGGGCGTGCAGCCGTGGTAGGTTCTAGAGTGGGAGAATGGGCTGCTGTCCAGCTCGCCCATGGACAGAACTCCGCTTTATACAATTACAGCCGAAAAATGATAGAACTTCGTACGTATTTATGAACTGGGAACATAGAGTGATAGTTTATTCTAATATCGGCTAAGATGGCTTCGCGAGCTTTTCGGCTTGCCAAATCTATCACTTCATAAAATTTTCTGATATACTGAAGGACCTTGAACGGTGCTATGCCGGTGTACACACGCTAGTGTAGACCGGAGAATGGGAAATGTTTGAAATAGATCTTCTCACACATTCGTGGACAGCTTAGTTTTGTAGCTCTGTGGAACATAAAATGGTAGTCTAAGCTAACAAGGTCTGAGGTGGCCTGGAGAGCTATCAGTCGTGTTAAACTTGCTGTTTTCCGATTCAAAATAACGTACTAGGGAGCCTCAAGCGGTACTTACTTGGAACTTGACTTCGCACCTAGGTTTTTGACATACCATAGGGGTACCCCAAGAAGTGGTAAACGCGTGTGTGCAGACCTATGACCTGTCGCTGTACCTACACATCGCCGTCTAACAGAGGCCAAAGCCTCTGAATACAGCAGGGGCAAGCAGCGAGAAAGCCAAGTGCCCAGACTTTTGGCAAGGCACCGTCCAACAACATCGTCAAAGTGATGCTATCTTCGGCTCGACAAAGTGTTACGAGACAGTGCTGTTGAAAAAAAGTCTGCGTATGCCCACTAATGCGATTGGGAGAGCTTACACAAGTAGCCGAGTGAAATGATATCAATTTGGCCATACATTCTCCATTCCGCCTGATCCTGCGTCCCTTAAATAAGTCTCCTCATCAAACACGCTGAACATGTCCCACGGGAAGTCCGAGCTCGGGGCGTCTGAAGCTAAGATTCCGGGAGAAAAGACGATGTCTGACAGACCCACGGACTGCGGCCTTAACGGTGCTTGAGCTGCTGGATTTCCTGGCTGCTGTAGACTTGTCGAGGAAGCAAAGCGGGGTGAAAGCGGTGTAGGCTGAGCGGACAGGCTGGTCCTTGGGCCGGTACCACGGAGGTTGATAGCCCGCGTATCGAGCATGGAATTGAACGAGCGGACTACCTCGGCGACACGCTTTGCCGCTGCGAGATTCTGGGCGGCGAATTTGTCAAAGCAGGTTATCGAAGTGTTGATGGTCCTCCGCGCAGTTGGTGTGAATGGGCAGACCGGATGGGCAAGCGCGAAACCGATGCTCGAGAGTGCAGCGTCCCATGTGTAGTGATAGACCTGATGCCAACTATTGAGGATATCGGTTTCGGTGAGGACTTGGCTAACAATATCAATAGTGACAGCTGCGTGATTGATGCACGAGTTCGATAGTGCGCATGCGACGGGCGTTAGGAAAGAGGTTCCAGGGTGAAATCGAATAAATGGTCGAAGGAGTGACATGACTAGGTTATGATAAAGTAGTTCTAGGAGTAGACGCTGTCTCTGTAGCCAGATTGGGGCTGAATGATCAATGTCCAGAGGATCCCGAATGGTGGAGAAGGGCTCTGCTGAGCCTTTTCGTTGAATCTTGAGGGCATCAGATACCTCCAGCGTCCAATCTTTGAGAGCCTTCATAGCTGGAGGAATCGATCTGGCGCATTCCTCGAGAAAGCTGGGGTTGTCGTAGATATCTTTTCCATCGTTGTTCTCCAGCACCTCCAGATACTTTTCGTGCAATCCTTCATACACGTGTCGAGCTGCTAGGATAAGTTTCACACTTATCGTAGAATACGTAAAGAGATTGACGTCCTCGTAGGTAAATACACTTGTTTCGCCTATCGCTGCTTTATCTTCGTCCTTGGTTGGCAGACTCAAAGCGACGTCTGACGGATCGACCATAAATGGTTCGCCAATTCTCATCGAAAACTTGCTGTCGACAAATACTAAGTTCCACCAGATCCGCTTCAGTAGGTTTCTACGATTCGGAGAAACATCCGGAGGCGGAAGATGCAGTCCCAAGGAATGGGCCATCCGTATAGTAGTTGCGAGTGTAGTGTTTGCCATATTCATCAATGACGCGTTGATCAGATAGACCACACAATATATCTGACATTGAATGGTTGGTATGGACGGATATTCACGCTCCTGTGACAAGAGCAGCTCACAGCGTCGGTAGAGCCAATATCCTCCAATGCTTGAGTCGGCATCGCTATCAGATACTTCGCCGACTGGAACTGTAAGATGGTCGCCGTACTGCATGCCCAGGGCCACTATGATGTCGACGAGGGGAGATGGCAGCCGAGATCCTTCCGAGTCTGGTGAAGCTGCAGTCCAAAGAGAGGCATGATAGCTTCTAAAGTCTGGTTCGTCGATTACAGGTGTGAGAAGGTAGTTCGACTGCAAAAACAGATTCACGAAGCACTCCTCTTGGAGCCTGCTTAGATTGTGTCCCACATGGCGCTCCTCCGAACCCGTTGAATGCTGCAGTAAGATAGTCTTTTGAAGTAGCAGGTCCGCCGGCATAGCACATGTTGAACTGGCTGAGTTCAACTGCAATAAATCCGGTACGCCTCCCTGAAGAAAGGTCTTGTTCATCCAATTCTGCATCCGGTGCACGAAATAGGGCGAGGAGAGCGGTCCGAAATAATGATCCTGATGGCTGTTTGGGTCGGAAATCCAGGCACCCTTCTGATTCGATCTCTTACGCTCCCGTTTTCCAGAAGCGACCGGAGTAGCTTCGGAAGAAGGCGGACTGAGGGGCATTGATGCCGCTTGTATTGCATTTTCTCGTACACGGGCTTCCAGTTCCGCGACTTGTGCCCTCAGCTTCTCGATCTCCCTTTACGACTTAACTTAGCTTCACCTAGGAACCACGGAGAGAGCTGGACTGACCTATTGGCTTCTGGGAGATTGAGGACTTCTCGAGACCCATCATTGCTGCATTGGCGACCAGCTGATTGACAGTTACGACATGGGCGATCAATATCACACTTTATACGGTTAAGGCGGCATCGGTCGCAAGCTCGATCGACCGCCGTACGCTTCCGCTTCGCGCCCTTTGGCGTGCCCTCGTTGCTGAAAGTTGAGGCGGTGGTGACACCTTTGAACGTTGCAAACATGGCGAACTCTCGGAAATCATGGCTTTTAGGGAGTGATACGCATTGCAGTACCCCTTCGGAAGAGCTGGTCTTTTTCGTATGATGCGCGTGGAAGAAGCGAGGTTGAAAGTGGGAGTCAAGGGTGGAGAGCATGGGTTAGTCAGCCATTCCGGTGTCGAGACAAGGCTTTGACCTTATTTCCTGAAAGCGCCGTTATAGTTCTAATGGCTACGGCATCAGCTTAAGCCCGACACCTCCGGCACATTTCTCCAATATGTCAGCAACTGACCACGAGAGCTTTTTCACAGAGAATTATCTCACGATCGCCACGCACACTGGGACTCTCACCCGAAGGAGTAATCTAATTACCCCTTTCGGTTAGCCTCCGAAAGCTCCAAGGAGTATAGCGTTAACCTCAACATATGGCATTCGGTGCGGCATGGAACTAATCTCATAGCCATAACTATGTAGGTCATTGATCCCATTTGCAATCATGTCTCTTCCATTGTTTGCCTTCGTTTTCTGTCATTTCCATCCAATCCTATAATACTACCTCCTACCAAGTTCGAAGACCACGAGTTTCCTGTCCCGAGAAAAGCCCTCCTTCGACTAAAAATGACACTGGATGTACCTACGGCAACGCAAAACACACCCATGGAGGGAACCGACCATTCAAAAGACTCAATTTGCAGCGAAAAGCTTGATGAACATGAACTACGCCCGAGGTCCTTTGAAGACGACATCGAAAAAGAGCAACAAGATCCCGCCACCACAAACTTCGAGGTCTCTTTCACAGGCGATACCGACCCTCGGAGTGTAAAGAGCCTACCTCCCTGGCGAAAATGGCTGATCGTTTACATCGTCTCCGGTACAAGTTTACTGGTGGCAAGCACGAGCTCCCTGTACGTCGCGACATACGCGCAGATAGAGAAAGAGTTCGACGTTAGCAATATCGTAGCAACGCTGGGGCTGACCGTGTTTGTTGCCGGTCTGGGGTTGGGTCCTATGTTGCTAGCGCCGCTCAGCGAGGTTCGTTTGCCGAGAAGATGCGATTCGGGAAACTGGTACTGACTGCTACGCATAGTTTTATGGTCGTAAACCGATCTACGTCGTGTCTTTAGCATTCTTCGTTATTTGGATTATTCCTTGTGCCGTGGCCCAGAACATTCAAACGCTGCTCGTAGCTCGGTTCATTGGCGGACTCTCCGGGGCCGCGTTCTTGAGTGTTGCTGGTAGCACGATGGGGGATCTGTTTGCTAGGGACCAGCTACAGAAGCCTATGTTGGTATACACGATAACGCCATTGTAAGCACTACTACCTTTGTTGAGCTCTAGTAGGCTGACTTTTGTAGCCTCGGTCCGGAACTGGGGCCCATTATTGGAGGCTTCATTAACTATAATGTTAGCTGGTTCGTCTGCATCCGTTCGCGCCGCCAAGTCATCGATCTAACAATGATAGGAGATGGTCGTTCTGGGTTCTCTTGATATGGGCTGGTTTTCAATGGGCGGCGATCACATTCCTCGTACCAGAGACGTATCATCCGGTTCTGCTGCGGAACGAAGCTCGGAGACTCCGCAAAGAGACGGGCGATGAGAGATGGTATGCGCCCATCGAGAAGATGGACCGATCTATTCCACACGTAAGTTTCCAATCCCATCACATACTTTCATCTGGGCTGACACGCGGAAAGACAATCATGAGGTCATGTTACCGTCCATTCATGCTTCTTCTGCTAGAGCCCATGTGCCTCCTCCTTTGCACTCTCACAGCTTTCCTATTAGGGGTCATATATCTATTCTTCGGCGCCTTCACTCTTGTGTTCAAGGAGAACCATGGGTTCAATCTTTGGCAAATCGGCTTGACCTTTATTGGAATGATCGTGGGTATGCTGTTGGCGTGTTTCGCTGATCCATGGTGAGATAAGGCTTTCTCTTGCGATTTTTAACCCCGGCGCTAATACAGATAGGTGGCACAAGAACCACCAGAGGCTCATCGCGAAGCATGTCGCTGAGACCGGAAACATCGGTGGTTCTGAACCGGAGTTTCGCCTCCCACCCGCAATTCTAGGAGGACCGATGGTGTTTGTTGGGCTTCTCTGGTTTGGATGGACGACGTGAGTCTTGTCCCTCTTAGTAGAACCCTTTCTGGACAGGCGTGGGCGCTAATTTATCTGCAGATACGCATCGGTTCACTGGATCGTCCCTATCATCGGTAGTTCGCTAATCAGCGCTGGGTACGTACGACGCACCACTCCAATGACTCTCTTCACTGACCTCATACATAGAGTCTTCATGGTGTACTCCGGCGTATTCACATTCCTTGTCGAATGTTACCCTCTCTACGCCGCAAGCGCGCTGGCTGCGAACAGCTTCTTGCGCAGTATGTTCGCGGCTGGCTTTCCGCTCTTCGGACCTGGAAGTAAGTCATGCCTCTTCTGCCTTCGCGAGACGTTGCGATCTGCAGCTTACCAAATGGGCATCGTGTAGTGTATCACAATCTCGGCTTTCAATGGGCCACGTTCGTGCTGGCTATGATTATGCTTGTGTTGGCGCCTTTCCCGTGAGTGAAAAAATAGGTATCCTTGCTTGAGAGATTGATGTTGACGAGCCTTAGGTATATCTTCTTTCGGTATGGCAAGCAAATAAGAGCGAAAAGCCGATACTCAGGCGCCAAGTAGAGACCCATGGTCACAAGATCTTCAAGCTATGCGGTGACTATATACTTGGTTAAAAGAGAGGATTGAAGAAGAAGAGTCAAAAAGTACAGAGCATATTTGGGCGGCAAGCGCATATTTTGCGGACTGGTGTATTTTTCTCATGAGAGCATATTTGCTCTATTATATCATACTTGGAAGAGTTTTGGAGCTGGCAGCTTCACAGTGTATATTCTATAAATTATCAATTATTAATCGATTCAAGCGGAAGCTACAAATCGTCACTCACCTGAGAGTTCGGTTTCCAATAGGGCTGGTGTCGTTTTAAAACGAAACTCACGTGCAGGCGTGAGGGCCCGCTAGCCCTTTTCAACGAGTTGATGACGCGTGAGCGATAATGCGACCACAAATTTCGGAAATCGTCATCAACATTGAAAACAATAGAAACGCTCAAGAAACACATAGACTCTCCCATCTAATAAACAAAATACAACTGAAGTACTTACACCGACCTATACAAAAACAAAAGTAGCTACCTTCATTACCATCCACCATGGCCAATACAGAGCCCCACCCCGACCCCATCGCCCTCACCGCGCCCAGAAACACCTCCGACGTCGACTACACCCCTTACCCCCAAAACTCCGTCCCCGTGTCGTCGGAGCAACAAGCCATCGTGGACGCGATATGCCGCCTCTACAGCGGCAGCGCGAGCAAACAAGACATGCAAGTCTACGCGCCCAACGCCATCTACGACGACCCCTGGAGCTACTGCGACGACCGGTACAAAGTCGCCGGGCAGTGGTATGGTACGCGCTGCCTCCTATTTCCCTACCTACCGCACCTACCCGAACGAGTCCATTGACATGAATATGTCGCAGGCATCCCCAAAATCATGGCATCTTCGCGCACCCTCGCCACCGAGATTGTCGACGCCGCGCCCGCGCTGCTCGTCTTCAAGCTGCGGCAGGAGTACACGCCGCGCGTGCTGCACGTCGCGACAGCGGTCGACTCGCTCGTGTCGCTGCGGCTGGACGGGCAGGGCCGGGTGGCGTATCATAAGGATATGTGGAATGCGAAGGATTACAGCCATGCGGGGTTGGGGAAGGCGATGAAGACGCTGAATGGGGATTATTTGACCAAGATTACGAGGCCCGAGGGGGATTTGTAGGAGATGGTTGGGGATGGGATTGAAATTGTGCTGTTTCTTTGTTTTCGAGCGCCCTTGGGATTGCGCAACGTGCCGAAACAGCGGCCGGTGAGGCGCTTTGAGAGCCGGGCACGTGCCGGGTTACGTGAGAGTAGTAGTGGTGGTGGTGGATGGGGGCGGAGCACGCTGGAGAGGCACCCCGCAGCGCTGCCGGGCCGTGATGGTGTTTACTCGCGGACAAATATTCGTAACGTCGGCGGCTTCGTGTGTTGTACGACGGAGGCGGAATGCGGGTCTAGTTTAGTACTTTACTGTAGAAAAGGTAGATTAGTGAAGGTAGACGACGACTTTGGTTGGTATGAAAGATACACCCTGCGTGGTCGTGAGCACGACATTTTCCTCGATAGGAACTCGAACACTCACCAACGGCATCACAAGAGGATACATGCGCCGCTCCATAGCGACATCTGTCGCCTTGAGGCCTCCCAAAGTGCATGAGGACAAATCCACCGCTCTCGGGCCGGCAGCGGGAGTGCCTGGTGCTGGGCGTCCCCACATTCCGTCCGAGATGGGGAGCCGACGATGCTTCCACGGCGGCCAACGTCAACCATGGCGGGAGGAAGGCGCGACGCAGCGAATATAAGACTGGCGGGGAGTGCTCCTTCTGCAATCTGTCCTGACAAACACAACTCTGAGTTCTCCCATTCGACATCACTTCACTCCATCACCTGTACTTCGGAACGAAGATCAACATCACCATGGCTCAGACCTCGAACCCTACTTTCGACGGTGAGATACTTGGGTGGTTACGCCATGGAAATGGACGCTGACGAGGACAGAGGTGCTCGGTTGCCAGGCTGCGTGCTTCGAGTGGGCCGACAGCTACGACAGCAAGGACTGGGAGCGTCTGAGCAAATGCATTGCACCGACTCTGAAGGTTGGCTCTCACCCCTCAACCACCCCTCAACAAACCCCCCGCTAACAACGGCTCGCCCAGATTGACTACCGCTCATTCCTCGACAAGATGTGGGAGGCCATGCCCGCGGACGAGTTCCTCAAGATGGCGTCGGACCCGGCGGTGCTGGGCAACCCGCTGCTCAAGACGCAGCACTTCATCGGCGGCACCAAGTGGGAGAAGGTGTCGGACACGGAGATCACGGGCTACCACCAGCTGCGCGTGCCGCACCAGAAGTACACGGACGCGACGCGCGCGACCGTCGCCGTCAAGGGCCACGCCCACAGCACCAACACGCACTGGTACAAGAAGATTGACGGCGTGTGGAAGTTTGCCGGCCTCAGCCCGGACATCCGGTGGTTCGAGTACGACTTCGACAAGGTGTTTGCCGAGGGCCGCGAGAAGATGGGCGACGAGCAGCTCGAGGCGGAGGAGAAGAAGCTGGCGGCGGAGGCGAACGGGATCCCGGCGGCTGCGTAGGTGGATGGGTGGTGGGGATGGGGATGGGGATGGGGATGGAGGTTTGATGAGCAATGGAATCACGGTTGATGCATTGGGTTCGGCAGGCACTAGGCTGTCGTGGAGTAACGGATACCACGTTTCTGACGAGAATACTACCTTTCTGACGAGGATTGCCATGCTGTGATGTAATAATATTGTGCTACGCAGTTATCTTCCGGAAGACATCTATGGTAATGTGGTCCTGGACAAGTTTCTGTTCCATACCAACATCTGATGGGCTAGGTTTCGACATCCATGGTGTTCCTGATATACGGCCATGCGGTCAAGGGAACACCACTCCAGATCAGATTCCACCCATGGGCCCCTAAGAGGTATCTACGGCGCTGAAGAGGCTTGATTAAAAAAGAATGTCTTTTTTTGTAAAGTGCCACCTGTGCTAAATTTGTGGTGTGGGGATCTCCATTCACGGTGTTCCTGACACAACCATTGTGGTCGAGAAACGCCACTGCAGATCAGACTCTATTCATAGGGCTCTAAGAGGCATTCCCGGCGATGAAGATCTGTTCAAAACAGAGCATAGTTTTCCATGCAGTCCCACTGCAGGCCCAATTTGAAGTGTGGATATCCATTCATGGTGTTGAGACCCATTTCACACGACTCAAGATGTCGACAGCCTTGAACGCGCCAAGGCATTAGCAACATCGATGGACTCAACAACACCGTCATTGGCCCGCGTGCAGGCGCCTCCACAAGTCGTGTGTCAGTGACGACGGAGGAAATTTTCATGCAGGCCATCGCGTCGTGCAGAAACGTGCAGCAGGGCCTGCGACCAGCTGAATGCGCTCCAATGGCGACGGCCTGGGGGGTTCGCGCTGCTCCGCGCTGTGATAGGAGGGCGCAACACACGCGGCGTGAAGGCGAGGGCTCTGCCATGCCCCGGCGTGAAGGCTTCTGCCATGCCTCCGAGCGCTTTGCGAACGGCTGCCCGAGATGGCCCACACCCACCGCGACGACGGCACACGCCAGCGGCCTCAGCGGCCTCAGCGGCCTCAGCGGCGAGGCCCGGGCCCAGAGCAGCGGCGCGGCGTGCCATAGGCGAATGCGCCGTGAGAGCGTCTGGACGAGCAGGGCGAAGATCGCGAAGCTTGATTCAGCCGCGGATTGCGCAAAGGGCAGGGCTGGAGCCGGTGCGCTCTGCTATTTGCGGTGCGCATCGAACCGTGGCCGGCGCGGCCTGCTGGACTCCCACGCGTGCCACGGCGCAAGAAGGGCGAAATAGGGCCGCGAGCATCGCTTCGGCAGCCAGTCAGCGCGCGGGCCGGCTCTGCTGCTTCTCTTCAAGATGCCCATCCCCGCCATCGGCGACCTCTCCTCGCTCCAAGCCTCTCACCCGCATCCTCATCCGACAGCATCTTTCCCGTTGCGACTCTCTCTCGTGTCTTCCCTTGCGTTGCCGGAGTTGTTCTTTCCTGAGATTCCCGGGTGTTCGTAGGTTTCTGATGCATTGCGGCTCTGCTTCGTCATCCTGGTGAGTGCTCCTCTGCCGCAGCGTTTTTCACCACCAGCCTCACGGGAGCTCTCCGCCATCCAGCCCGCCTCGCACCCCCCGCCGCCCGCTGCGCGCATCGCCCTCCGCCGCCGTTCAGCTGTCGCGACTGTCGCTGCGCTGCCGGGCGCGGTCCTGCCGCCTGCGCGCGCTTGCTGCTCTCGAGCTGCGCGCCCTGTCGAGCTGTGCGCGCGCACGGCAGCCGTGGGTTCTATCGCACAAGGCGCCGTGCCGTGTTTGGAGCGGCGGGCCTCGTGCTGCTGCTTGCTGGAGACGACACGCATGTGATGTCTCCTACCGCGTGCCACCTACTGACGGCCGTGCAGATTCCGCGACTGGCCTTCCGCATCAAACTTCTTCCTCCACCACGACTGCTCTCTATTCACTACCACCACACCCGTCGACTGGGCTTCTCTGACAGTGTTAGCCGGGGCATCTTTTCCATCCATTACTTGGTTCCTGCCGTCTGCCTTCTGCTCTGCGGTCCACGGCGCGTGCTCCGATCCACTTCACCTATCGTTGCCAATTGCAAGCAGCTCAGCCAGCTTTGCCCGCAGCAGTCCCGTGACAGCTGTACGTGTCATCTCCCTCTCTATTGTTCACTATTGAGCCGCGCTATCTCACCGACGCTAACCTGACGCTTCCTTGCCGCAGACCCGTCCGGACATCATTAATTCCTTCAACACCAGTCCTTGACTGCGCTTCCTTCTTTGCAACCTCTTCTAGCTCCTAGCTCCGATTTACGGTTTCGACAATCTCACCACAGCTATCATGAGTTTCCAGAACTACGAATTCCAAGGCCAGCAGCCCACCGAAGAGGGCGGTGCTCCCGGTGGCGCGGGCGCGCAACAACAACAACAGCAACAGCCCCAGATGGGCCAGCCCATTGACAACTCCCAGGCCCAATTCCAGGGCGGCAACATGGGTGCGCCAGGATCCGCCGGCGGTGAACAATCCGGCGATTCCAAGACGACTCTTTGGTACGTACAACCTCGCCGCGTGTCGGCAACATCTCCTGCCGCTCAGCTCGAAGGCTGTGGGGGCATGGGTCTGGGACTTGGACAACAGGAAAATAATCAGGGTTAACATCATTCAGGATGGGCGAATTGGAGCCTTGGATAGATGAGAACTTCATCCGCAGCATCTGGTTCGGCATGGGCGAGCAGGTCAACGTGAAAATGATCCGTGACAAATTCTCCGGGTGAGCGGAACAGAGGACCCTTACTATATTCAAACTGACCACGTCCAGAAGCAATGCTGGATACTGCTTCGTAGACTTCCCCAACCCTGCGGCGGCCGCCAAAGCCTTGACTTTGAACGGCCAGCTTATTCCTAACTCCAATCGCCCGTTCAAGCTGAACTGGGCTTCTGGCGGTGGTCTTGCTGACCGAAGGTGAGCTGATTTCCTCTTCCTCACGTTCTGCTTTTACAAGGCCTAATGCTCTCTAGCCGCGACGACCGCGGCCCCGAATTCTCCATCTTCGTCGGGGATCTCGGACCGGAGGTCAATGAATACGTCCTGGTTTCCCTCTTCCAAGGCAAATTCCCGTCCTGCAAGTCCGCGAAGATCATGTCCGATCCAATCAGCGGTCTGTCCCGTGGCTATGGCTTCGTTCGCTTTGCTGACGAAGGCGACCAACAACGCGCCCTGACCGAGATGCAAGGCGTCTACTGCGGCAATCGCCCCATGCGCATCTCCACCGCGACTCCCAAAAACAAGAGCGGTGGCCCCGGAGGTCCTCCCGGCGGCATGAATATGCAAGGTGCTGGAGGCCCAGTTGGCATGTACTCCATGGGCGCCCCACCCATGGGCTACTACGGCGCTCCTCAACCCATGAACCAATTCACCGACCCCAACAACACCACCGTCTTCGTTGGAGGTCTCTCTGGCTACGTCACCGAGGACGAGCTACGCTCCTTCTTCCAGGGCTTTGGCGAAATCACATACGTCAAGATTCCGCCCGGCAAGGGATGCGGCTTCGTCCAATTCGTACAGAGACATGCTGCCGAGATGGCAATCAACCAGATGCAGGGCTACCCGATCGGCAACTCACGCGTCCGTCTCAGCTGGGGACGTAGCCAGAACAACTCGGGCCCGGCAGGAACTCCTTATCGTCCGGCTCCACCTCCCCCGGTGTACCCCTCAATGGGCATGCCTCCTAGCCATCCTTTCGGCAATTACGCACCCATGAAGGTTAGTCTTCACAGCTCTCTTCCAACCTCTCCAACCTCACTAACCCACTCGCAGTAAGCAAATCTTTTCCCTCACTTTCACGGCGGCACCTCGAGCGTCCAAGGTTTCCCAACGGTTGGCTTGCTCAATGATTTCCATACTTATGAATGCCCACCTCACGACCCCTTTCCCGAATCTGGAGCCCCCTTTATCTGTCATTGGGTGGTAAATGCTCTCTAAAAGTTGCCATATCATGAATGCTTTCTCCTTCTGCTTTCCGTGTTGGGTGGCCTAGAGAAAAACTCCTGTGTACAACAGCTCTTGCTTGCTCGGGGTTCCAGATGGAAGGTGTTGCCTTCTCTTTCCTTTCTATTTCTCTTTGCTACTGGGATGGGGGATTCGGGGTGTCCCCGGTTTTGTTATTAGCTAGCACCTAGTTTCCACTTTTCCCCTTGAGTTCCAGCTTGAGCGAGGCCGGTGGACAGACAATTCTTTCTTGCTTTGCTACTTGCGATATCTACTGCCTTATATTACCCTCATCTACTCAAACCCGGTTTTCGGGGCTGGAATTGTTTTTGGGAGCATTGGGAGGTGTAAAACGACTCGGCGATGGCGGTGAGAATGGCAGCTTCAAGATCTATTACTTTGGCTCTCTTCCATTTCTTCTCGATTCATGCTTGACTATATTTGGGTGCATTTACATCATCTCCACGCCTTTGCCATTTCCATCTCGTCGTTTGAAACAAAGTCCGCGAATTTAATTCACTTCCGCGATTCCGTTCGACTCAGCGATAAAAAAATCCGCTTCATGAAACCTCGAAACCTTGGACGCTGCTGGGGGTGGGCCCATTCACTTCTCGGTCCCTGCAGCCGTTTCACAGCAGAAAGAGCCGGAATTTAAAACTAACCTCACTTTTTCTTCTTCTCTGTTTTGCAGGCCATCGAATTGGCGCGCTAACACGACCCGTAGCCAATACGCCGCGCACATCCAACCCCCGCCTATGCTCCCCTTCCCGACACCGATGGGCCTGGGCTCCCCCGGGGCGCTTTCTCCTCCATCAGACCTGCCGAAAGACGGACCGGGACCGGGACCCGTGGGCGCCTCGCTCCTCGTGCAGAAGATGAATGAGGTCAGCCTCAACGCGCAACAACAGCAACAGCAGCAGAAGCGGGACGAGCCGGCGGCAAAGGGGCTCGAGAACGCGTTTGCGGAGCAGTGAGTGTGCGCCCCTCCAGCCATCTCCACAACCACGGATCCCCCTCTTTCATGAAGGGAGAGCTGTGGTTGGAGTTGCTTGCTGGGGTGAAGCGGTGCATGGCTAGAGCAGGCGGGTATAGAAAAGGGTGGCTATGGTTAGATCGGGGGGGATGCGGGATGTGGGATGGCCTTCTTTTTTGCGGACACTTGCACTACGGAGGCTTTGGGGCTCATTTTAGCATGGCGTCTGGCGTTCCGACGGATCGGACGGGACCCATGGGGTCGCTGGGGCGGCGTAGGCGGCTTAAAAGCTTTTTTTTTGGTTCTGTTTTGTTGCTTTTTTTGCTTTTAGAGAGGGCAATGGGGGTAGGGGGAGGGAGGGGATGGTGGTATGTAGTACTATGACAGGAAATCACTCGAAAACTAATTGCTTGCTGCTGTTAGGGGTGCTTTGGCATACTGGTGAAAGTGTCTGGTTCGTTAGAAGGGAGGCGGACTGTAGCTCGCGGTAGAGATCTGTTTGGGTTCGTCATCCTCGGTCACACTGGGCATTCATCTCTTCCTTTCGATGCAGTAGCTTATCACGGTATGCACAACCTTTTAGTCTAATGAAAGTCTTTTCTGCCGCTCATATTCCCGAGAATGCGTTGAAGCACCCTAAGCAGTAGCATACCAGATAGCCGAAGCCAGATCTGATAGAAGCACGTGACACATAGTTCATCTCACTCGAAAGACAACCACCCTAGAGGTGTGGTGGAAACATCACTACGACCTGCCATTTCGGTTCCCTGCTAAAGTACACCATCTCGGATGGAAGGCTCGTTTTGTAGCATGGTGCCTTCGCGATACCCAAATGCGATTGCATGATAGCGGGGAATGATGTCGAAATGCCGACAGGGTTCAAATTGGTGTATATATAAACTAACGTCATTCTCTCCGACCTCATCCCCCATCTTCACATATCTCACAAACCCACCCATTTAGTTTAGCGCGAAGACTTGGATTACAAAACTTCAAAATGGCTACCGCTTCGGTATCTGCGCCCCCTGGCCAACCAGACATCACATACACGCCCGACTTCGACAAGTATAAAGCGCGCACGCAGCGCCGTCTAGCAACCGAGAAACTCGAACAAACCCTACCGCCCGGATTCCCTTCGAAGTTAGAATCGGAGTTCGTGTGGGATGGTGACAGCATCAAGGAATCTGGCTATAATTGGGTCTACGAGCTAAGCGCAGAAGAAATCGCGGAGATCGAGGCAGCCCTCGTGCATTTCAAGTGTTAGTACTATTGCATCTCCCTCTCATTCCTATCTCCCTCTCTGCTTCCCAATCCAATCCATCTTCTCCAAAAAAAAGAAACCTCTATCCTTCCCACCAACCCATCCCAACCCAATCTCTCTTCCTCAACACCCCC